GAAAGTGAAATCGGTGGTGGTGGGCTTGTGTGAGTCTGACGTCTTCTGATCAGTGCAAAAGAAGGAAAGATGAAAAGGAACCCATCTCCGGTTTTGCTGAAATTGGCTCGCCTGAAAGATGTTGCTGTTTCTGTGTCGGCTGCGCAAGAGGATGCGCCCGCGTGCGCCCTCGTTTTGGAGTCAGAATGACTGCGGGTGTAAGATGCTGATGCTCGTGCAGCGTGGCTGGCTGCGGGCTGCTGGCTTGTTAGCCCTCGGTGGTTATTTCTGGGCGCCCCGGGACAACCGTCTGGGCGGTTGGACGCATCGGTCAATGGGGCGACAATCTGCCTGAAGATCTGCGATGGGTGCGCCTGTGCCGTGGCTGGCTTCAGGTGCTCTGGGGCCCAAAGGGGGGATTGCAAGCAGCCCGTGTGTTGCCCTGTTCCAGCCCATGTTTGAGTTGTGAGGGGTCAAGGGGCGCCCCTGTTAGAGCCTATTCACCCATTGTGCCATGGTAACCCATCATGACGGCTGCCACCATTCCGAGCAAAACATTGCTTCTCCAACAAAATCACCCATGCCTAGCTGGCTCGCTGGCCTCTTGCCTGCCACTACGCTGCCGTATGACGCCAGTGATCGTCACTTTTTGGATCGTCGTCGTCATGGCACTTTGTTGTGTTCTCGAGTGTTCACGGCCGATCCAGAGCACGTTGCCGGCGATCTCGAGAATGCGAAAATAGCCTGATATCTCAAACCTCCTCTTCCAAGAGTCTGGGTTTCGCGTTCATCAACAGATGGCCCAATGGCTCGTATCTTGTGGAAAGTGTCGAATTATCCAGAAGGTCTCGGCAACGAACAGTTCACGAGGTGGCGACGTCCAATCACAAGGCCATGAAGCACTCTGATGCTCCTCGAGCGCAGGGAGGCAACTTTGGCCGGCTCGGGCGGCTTGCTCGTACAACCCTTCCATCGTTTGGTCCTCAAAGATCCCCCGCCTCTCAATTACCATTCCAACATGTCCGCGTCGCAAACGTTCAGGCTTAGCGGAATGACGCCGGGAACTCAGAGGTCTCCAGTGAGAGGACAGAGCTGCAGCCAATCATCAGGTTTGCCATCAGAGACCTTGATGTCAGCGGCATCGGAGTTGCAGCCGGACGGTGGCACAAATCGACTACAATACCGAGCACCTTTTTGCGGGAAAAACACATACTTTGGCGCACAAGTTGCACAAGTTACAAATATGGCTGACCCTTGAAACAGAGAAACAAACAATGATTGGGCAACGAGATGTGAACAAGGACGAAATGAGATGAGATGAACCTACCCTGCGCATTTTCCATCCTGTTCCTTCTCCACTGCTCTGCGAAGTCTAGCGCCACCTGGATAGTTTCGTTGCGTTGCCACCAGGGGACTTGTTGCGTGGCATATAGACGCGGTCTGGACATGATGGACGTTGTGATTGGATGGTTTCCGAGTATTGGGAGCCTTGCTATGTGTGGGCTTTCTGGGAAGAGATCGTGTCCAATAACAGTTGCTGTGGTGTCCGCCGACGCCGACTAGGTGAGATGATACGTCTCGGTTCTCTCAAAGTGTTGCTCTGCCCCTGACCTGACCTGACCTGGCCTGACCGAACAAGGCTCGGATCAAGCAATATGGGATTCCGAGGAGGATAAGGTGAGGAACCCTTTGCCAACGTGCTCCACGCCGGACGGAACGAGAGGACGCGAAGCCTCAGCCTAGTCGCTTCGAGGGCGATGGGCTATAATACTAAAGAATAGCGGTTTCCCCAGAAAAGAGAGAGAGAGAGAGAGAATATACAGCCCAAGCAAGCAAGCAAGCAACCTGTCCAGTTTGTTTGAATGCCGGGGAATTATAAGCACGCACGTCCTATCTGTGCAAGACAACACACTCTCTCACACAAAAACTACTATTTGTATGGTTGAGCTCAAGGTCATCAGGTTTTCCCAACAAGTCTCACCAAAGGATCCAAGCTTCGTTCCCAAGTTTGGTTCCACGAGAGAAAGCGGAGGACCTGCAAAGCAAATTCTCTGGGACTTCCGTGCCCTACCCACTTTGAGGGGGATAACTCAAAATAAAAACGGAAGCCCAGGAATCGATGCAGGACAAGAACTCCCTATTCATTTCAGAGTTGTGGAATGCAACATGTTACTGTTGGACCAGCACCAAGAAAGAAATGACTCAATCTGAACAACAGCAGCAGCAAAGACTTGGTTGGGGCTAGCTCAACACAACCCCGGAACAAGATTCGTCCCTTTTACCCTCGACGACACCACGGCTCGTGCATATGATATAAAAATTAAGATGTTCGAACCAAAGTATTCGAATGCTTAGAAAAGAATCCAGACTGGGTCGTCGAATCATCATACCTCCCAAGCCGGGAAGGCTTTACAAATTCTGCCCCCAGCCGCCACAATGCCACAATGCACATCCGCTTGGAAAACTCATTCAGTTTTCCCCTTTGGGCCCTGCGGTGAGGGAAATCCGCATCAGTCATTCTTTTTGTTTTTCTTGCCCTCTAAAGATCCTTGGTCCGTTCGTCACTCGCACGGATCCATCGGTCGAGGGCCTCCTTGTTCCGGACCCGGAAACCGACCTTGAAGGGCTTGGGCTCGGTGGTGAGGGCGGTCGGGATGCTGTTGCACTCGATGGCGTCGAGGATGGGCCAGTCCTTGGGGTCCTTTGCCGGCACAAACTCGAACGCCACGATCATGCGCAAAAACGCCGTGTAGATCTCGCGGTTCGCCAGGTGCGAGCCCACGCACATCCTGCTGCCCGCGCCGTAGCCGTAGTGGGGTGTCCCGCTGCCCTCCTGGTCGTTGAGGTACCGTTCCGGGATGAATTTGGCAGGATCCTTGAAGTGCGTCTCGTCATAGTCGGCGGCCCAGGCGTTCATGTAGAAGACGCTGCCCGCGGGGACGGTCACGTCGCCGTACTGGATATCCTTGATGCTGGTCCTCGGGAGGCAGATGGGGATCACGGTGAAGTAACGGAGGATCTCTTTGGTCAGGGCCGTGATGTACGGCACCTTTTCTTCGACGAGGCACTTCTCCCACGCCTCGCCGTCTTCGGGATAGACTTTCATGATTTCTTCGTAGGCCCTCTTCTGAATGTGTTGGCCCTCGGGGGACGCCAGGTAGCCGAGTCCCATGATCATGTTGCCGGGGACGGTGTCGATGCCCGCAGAGACCATCGTCAAGCAGATGGACTTGAGTTCGGCCTCGTTGAGCGTTTCCTCGGGGTCTTTGATGATGTTGCCGGTGATGCAGGGCCTGTCGGTCCCATTCGCGATGCGCTCCTTGAGCATGTTCAGGAAAGTGGTGAGATACTTGTCCCGACGCTCTCGGTATTCTGCAGCTGATTTGTTCTGGCGGGAGATGAACGGCAGTCGCAGCAGGGGGATATAGTCTTGCCAGTTATTGGATGTGCTGCGGAAATTCGACACGACTCGTTCGACGTGGACAACTTGAACGGGAGACTGTCAGCTTGCCCGTTTCCATGTCTAGAATTTTCGGTTTGGAAAAATAAACTCACCTTCCCTGAGCAGCTCTTGATCGATTCCTCCGTCGATCCGGATGCCATAGTTCAATGTCAAACTTGTGTTGAGAGCAAAGCGGTGGAAGTACTTTCGCGGGTCCAAGTCCAACGTGCCATTCATCGAGTCCTTGTACATGTCCTTGATGGCGACACAACTCTCCAAATCGATGAAAGGCATATAGCTCTGAACGGCTGGTTTGTTCAAGGCTGTAGCGGCCACCTTGCGGCGCCTCTTGCAGGATTCATCCCATGGCGATGTTCCGATGGTGAAGCCCTGGCTGCTCGAGACGACGCTGTGGAAGGTGTACAGCGTGGGCCGGGAGATCAGAGACGACTGGTTGGTGATCCAAAAGTGTTTGACCGAGTCGAACGTGTTGGCAAAGATGATGCGACGGTTGCCCAAGCGGGTCTGGAAGACGGGCCAGCCATATTTCTTCGCCCATCGAGCCGTGACACGAGCGTGATCCTCGCCCAGTTGAAGCAGGTTTCCAAACAGTGGCACACCTGGGATTTCAGGTAGGCCCTTGATTTTGGGCTGGTCGGTTGAGTTCAGATAGCGGATCAGGAAGTATCCCAGAGCGAGGAAGACAAAGGAGAGAGTTGCAGGAGATATGATGACAGTCATCTTGGTGGTCGCTTTGGGAATTGGTCCCCAGGCAAACAGAACTCGCTCAAAGTTGTGGTGATGGGCGTTTCAATATATGATATAGGACGCGCAGACAGTCAAGGCCGTCAGCCCTCAAGGCAGAAAAAGAAAGATATCGAGTCCGGCGTGCTAATCTAGGGCACAGCCTGCCGGTTGAGAAGACAAGTGAACGCTGCTGATAGAACTGAGAATTGAGAGATGGAGTCGGATTCTTTGAGAATGCAGAGGCTGGTCTTTCTCAATTATATCCTTCTGGCACACCGCCCACAACAATCGTAGTCGAAGAGACGTACTGGACGAATCTCGGACAGAAAATCCCCTCTCGTTCAACGCTTACCTGCGGTAGAGGGCGTGCAAGTGGCAGGTGTCTCACGAAGGGGTCCTACAGTTGGAGGGGTGCCTATCATCCGCACTCAGTAGTGGAGGTGGAGAAGTTGACGGCCTCGTAAAGGCATCCTTGAGCGGAACGAGGCCGCTTCATCGTCATTGTTTGGAACATCACCCCCATCGCAAGTGGCCAATAGCACGGGATGCGATGGAGTTGAAAGAGGAGAAGATCGAATACGGCGAGAATCCGGGGAATGAAGTAATTATTAGCCTAACAACCACCCGCATCCAATTGGTGCAGATTCTTCTAATTGTGACCTAATCTTGAATCCCTCTATTATGATTGGTTCCTATGCAAATACCCCCAGATGCGGTAAGTTCTCTACGACCAGGTGCGGAATTGCGCAAGTGCGAGAGCTCGTCTGATACTTTTTGGTTCACTCTTCTCCGTCTATCCATCAGGTACATGCAGTACAATGAACGTGCCGACTCAGATCTTAGGGGCAGGCAGGATCTTGCCCGAACACTCTCCGAAGCCTACAAGTCCAGACTCTTCGGTGCCGCAGACGCCGTACATTGTAATTGTGTCTCCATCGTCCAAGAACTTCCGCTCTACTCCTCCGTTCAACTTGACGCTTTCTTTCCCGCCCTTGGTGATTTCGAGCATACTTCCTTCCGTGCCTGGCTCCGTACCGCTGATTGTGCCCGACCCGAGGAGGTCACCGACCGCCATGGGGCATCCACCGATTGAGTGGTGAGCCAGCATCTGCGGAAATGAGAAGAGTAGATTGCGGCCGTTAGAATTCAAGATTGTAGTCGTCGAACCGCTCTCGGCTATTGCATATCTTTATGTTAGTCGTCAAACATGCTTGGAGAACGGCGCTTATCGTGTGTCAGACTTACGCGTGATGTCGACCTGCAATCGAATGTCATACACATTCTTCTCCTCCTTCTCCTGTAGATAGGGCAGCAGATCCGTCTCGTTCGGGATGCCCTTGCATCGAAACGGCTCCAATGCGTCGGTCAGCACCACCCACGGGCTGATGGTGGAGCCAAAGTTCTTAGCCAAGAATGGTCCTAACGGAACGTATTCCCATGCTTGGATGTCTCGGGCGGACCAGTCATTCAGCAGCACGAATCCAAAGATATGATCTGCAGCCTCAGAGATGGGAATATTGGTGCCCATCTTGTTCCCTTTGCACAGAAAAGCGCCGAGTTCAAGTTCGATATCGAGTCGCCGGCAAGGGGTGAAGATCGGTTTCTTGGGTGTTGCGGCGGGGTTTTCCAGGATCTGACCATTGGGCCTCGTAATCGGAGTACCTGAGATGACCACTGACGACGCCCTTCCATGGTAACCCACTGGCAAATGCGTATAGTTGGGTTGCAGTGCGTTGTCAGGTCCTCGAAACAGGCATCCAACGTTGAAGGCATGGTTCTTGCCGGCGTAGAAGTCCGTATAATCACCAATCTGCATCGGCATATGCATCTTGACTTGCTCCTTGGGGATTAGGCATTTTTCTTGCAGGGGTTTGTTGCTTTGTAAGACGTCCGCCAGAGATGTGTTCTCGGCGAAGACATCTTGCAGGTATTTTCTCACTGAGCGATGAACCGGTCTTCCCAAAGCCGCGAAGTCATTGAGGGTCGGCTTAGAGAAACACGAAACATCAAACCCGAGCGATGAGAAGGCCCCCGAAGCTGCAAATTCCTGTAGATCCAAGCAATGATCCCCAATGGCCACGGCTGGTCGTGGAGTAGGTTTGGATGTTGTAGAAATGATGCCAAAGGGTAAATTGGCCAAAGAGAAATGGCTCGACTTTGGGATTGGGAACCATGATTTGAGAGATGCCATCTTGATTGTCTGTTTCTCTGTCTTTTCTGCCCGATTTGAAGTTATTCGACCACACGATGCTTGTCAGAGATCAAATCTCCTCTTTGTTCAGTGGACGATCTCCCTATTAAGATGCCCGTCACCAGCATGTGCGAAGTGGTCGATGTCAGAGGCGGGCAGTACGGAGCAAATTCCGTCGTTGTTTCCGGGGGCGGTTTCACAGTCTTGGTGCTTGTCGGGAGCCGATTCGTTATTTAGTCTGCCAGTCCCAGGGCTGGTCGAGGTTGCCCATCCGACCCTTGTGTGTCAGGGAACTCGGTCGGCTTGGGCGGGCGTTCCGGCTTGATGCTGATTGTTCAATGAGTATTTGGAGGCTCCATCAGCCATCGAAAGGCTGCAAGTTTGAACTTACTCTCAATCTCTTTGACCACCGCGAACAGTATTCTGTAGACAACCTGGGCTGTCTTGTGATGCATCCTCACTTCGGGAGGTTACAGTCGCGGCAAGTTGGTGAGTGAAAAAGAGGTGAGGGCGCAGTTTGAGACCAACAAAAATGACCCCTTGCCTTCAATGGAGAGTTGAAGCATGCACAGACAGAGTGACAGGATACCTGCCCACACCGATGCCCATGCGGAACAAGAGCAGCAACAGCGAATCGAATCTGTCCCTCTATGCCAGCTAATAATGTGAGACCAGCAAATACCGAATCTGATCAACGGCTCGACTTCCCAATCAGACCATGACGACATCAGTCGGAGATTCTTTCGCTGGAAATCAATTGGGGAAAATGAATGGCATCACAGACATCAAGGAGTACACACTGGAATAGGTAGTATGTGGTGATAAAATATTGAGCAGATCCAAGTACCCTCCTTTATTCTTTGCGTATCTTGTGACGACTTTGAACCCCCAGAATGCCCGGGACCCCATCGACCTACGCGACACCAAAATGGTGGAAAGAAGCCGTCATCTACCAGATCTACCCGTCGTCGTTTCAAGACAGCAACGGCGACGGCTGGGGCGACGTCAAGGGCATCACATCCCGCCTGGACTACTTGAAAGAGCTGGGCATTGACATTGTGTGGACGTCGCCCATCTACAAGTCCCCGCAGGCCGACATGGGCTACGACATTGCCGATTACAAGGCCATTGACCCCATCTACGGCTCCCTCGACGACGTGGACACTCTGATCGCCGAGCTGAAGAAGAGAGACATGAAGCTCATGATGGACCTCGTGGTAAACCACACGTCCAACATGCATCCGTGGTTTTTGGAGTCGCGCTCGTCGAGAACGAACCCCAAGAGAGACTGGTACATCTGGAAACCGCCCAAGTCGGTCAGCGACGCCGGCGTGCCCGAACCGCCCAACAATTGGGCCCAGATCCTCGGGGAGGCGAACTCGGCATGGACCTACGACACGGGCACGGGGGAATACTACCTGTCCATCTTCACGCCGGACCAGCCCGACCTGAACTGGGAAAACCCCGACGTGCGCGAGGCCGTGTGGGAGGTGATGCGGTTCTGGCTCGACCGCGGCGTTGCGGGCTTCAGACAAGACGTCATCAACATGATCAGCAAGGTGCCCACGTACCCGGACGCGCCCGTCGTGCTGGATCCCCTGACGCACAAGTACCAGCCGGGGACGCAGTTCTTCGTCAACGGGCCCAAGCTGCACGACTACCTTGGCGAGATGCACCGGGAGGTGCTCTCGAAATACGACACCATCACGGTGGGCGAGATGCCCGGGGTGTCCGACGAAGACGAGATCCTCCGCACCGTCGGTGCCGAGGCGGGCGAGCTGAACATGATCTTCATCTTCGACGTGGTGGACATTGACAAGCCCAACGTGCGGATGGCGCTGAAGCCGTGGGACGTCAAGGAACTCAAGTCCATCATCACGCGGTGGCAGCGGTGCATGATCGAGCGGGACGGGTGGAACACGGTCTTCATCGAGAACCACGACAACCCGCGCAGCGTGACGCGGTACACGGACGACAGCGACGGCCTGCGCGACAAGGGCGCCAAGCTGCTGGCCCTGATGCAGACGACCCTGGGCGGCACCTTGTTCGTGTACCAGGGCGAGGAGATTGGGATGCGCAACGCCCCGCGCGACTGGGACATTGACGAGGAGTACAAGGACATTGAGACCATCAACTACTGGCGGAAGTGCCAGCAGATCTACAAGAATGACCCCGCCCAGCTCGACCAGGCCCGCAACATCATCCACCTCAAAGCTCGCGACCACGCGCGCACGCCCTTCCAATGGGATCGCTCTGACAACGCGGGCTTCTGCCGCTCTGGAGTGAAACCGTGGATGCGAGTCATGGACGACTACAAGGACGGTATCAACGCCGAAGACCAGATGAAGGCGGTGTCGTCCAACAAGCACAAGCCGAACAACCAAGACGGCGAAGAAGGCCAAGGCGAAGATGAAGAACTGTCAACATGGCAATTCTGGCAGCGCGGCATCCGCGAGCGCAAAACCCACGCCGCGGCCTTCGTCTACGGCGACTACGAGGAACTCTCGCCCTCCGACCCGGACGTCCTGGCCTACCTTCGGACCAGCGCCTCGGGTTCGGATCGCTGGCTCGTGGTGCTCAACTTTTCCGGCAAACACGTCGAATGGACGGTACCGACGACAACAAAAGTAGACTCCTGGGTCTGCGGGACGTACACATCGGGCCAGCCGCGGAAACCGCGCGAGAGCCAGATCCCGCTGAGGCCGTGGGAGGGGTTGTTGGCCAAGTGCCGGTGAAAGGAGGAAGGGAGTGGGATCTAGAGAATAGTGATCCATCATGTATAGATAGATAGATAGATCAGACGATCAGACGATCAGACGGACGGTATTACTCGGTCGGGTATATAGCTGGATAGATAGATATAGAACAAACCAACCCGGGATGTCTCAAACCAGACATTGACAGATATACATTGCCCACATCGCTCACATCGGTCCAGTGTATGAATAGATCCCATGGGAAATCGCCATAATGAACGTGCAAAGAAAGACGTGATTTCCTTCATGAGCAATGGGCATTACCACCTGCCCGCCCACGGCGGTTCTCATCCCTATCATACCCACCTACCTACCTATGCACATACACACGATCCTCACTCGCCCCTCTCCGCGCCAATATGAGACTGACTTTACTCGTTCTACAATTCACAGGATTCCCCTGATTCACATGTAGCCCAGGGACGTATCAACTACCCTCGCTACAAGGAACGTACGTGTGCCTGGCTCTGCCTAGCTCTACCAGAATCTTCGTACTCCTTGAGCACTAGTTAGAGACTGTGGACACGTGCGAGGGCGAATAGCCTGGCCAATTACGCAGGACGTCAACACTTCTGAATGTGGTATACCTCGTACTGAGTAGAGGGGAATGATTCCGCTGTTTGGCGAACAGCTTGTCTCGGTTGTGAGAGGGAATCCACGTCGCAAGGCTTAAGGTCGAGACCTGAGACGGGCAGACGGAGCGTGAATGCATCGGATCATGCTGCAAAGGTGCTCGAGACCCCGTTTCCGACGTACGTCAGGTCTGGATTGCAACAACGCCGTCGCCTTCGTCTGGGGTGTTCGCTAATTATTCGATGGCGAGAAGCCCTGTAGACGCCAGGAGAGAGCGCAATGCTGATTGACTATTTGCGTGTAGGTGTGCTACTTCTGGAAAAGGCAATTCTGGCAGCATGTTTCGGTCTGAGATGGACCTCATTCTGGACCGGGCTGCAGTAATATTGGAACGTGGTAACACCAAATTTGTTTTTAGCAAACGCCATTCCAAATCCCATAACATCGTCGGAGCGAAGCCCAGTCCTCAGGCTGGCTTCTTGGTCGCACAATGAACCGCAAATAGTGTGGGTTTCTCTCCTGCGTTGGACCCTTGCGTATTTGCTGAGTCTTTGTCCCGGATCTTGTATGTTTTCTCCAATGATACTCACTCTGTTATTTCCAGGAGGAGAACTTGCTCGGTCGCCTTTCAGTCCTTACAGGGCGGCATCCTCCTGTCTTTCCAGCTCAATGATTCGGGTGGCAGCATATGATCGGAACCCTGCATTCTCATTGAGATCCACGGTTCGAGTTTATGCACAGCCCCGAGAAACCTGTCCATGTCTTGTATAAGCTTCGACACTGTCAACTTCTTGTGCTCGGGACTGTCTCCGGTCAGTCCGAAGTGTGTTTAGGGGTGTAAGAGAGCAATTGGCCAGATGAGGCGTGACTTGATGGCGCTGAAAGGGCATCTGGATCATGGCGCGGCTTTGATCCGTTGCGCCTCGTGGCAAATTCCGCACTCGCTTTGTTCCCCCAGCCTCTAGCAAGACCCTGTGTCTGCTTGCGCAGAGCGACCCCGGTTTGACCCCGGTTTCAAACCAAATGAGCCCAAGTCAGGATGTGCCCTGAATTTGGCGCCGAGAAACGCTTGCCCCTTGCTGGTAAAGGGCGGACAATGGGTCCCGGACCGATAACCTGGCCAGAGCACTTTGGTGGTATGTGGGATAGAACAAGCCCGGGGCGAGTACCCCAGTCTTTGCCAGACTTGGACTGGCACCGCTGCCATCCAGACTTTTTCTTCATGACAGACGATCAACAATTGGTGTGGCCGTACCGAGCAGAAGAGTTGGGACAAGCAAAACGCTCTATGCCCTTGGCGACGGCGTCCAGTTCCATCGTTCCATCGCTCCATTCTTTACGAGATGACTCGTACTCGGAATCAACCAAACACTGCTCGTCTTTAGTGAGCACTTGGAAAAGGCCAAGTCTTTGTGATATGTGGAGAGGGTGTCATTGATACCCAAAAAGAGCCAAATGTGGCCTCCTTACTCCATAACCCCCATGCAACCCCAGGTCTGGGGAAGATTGAATGGACGCCATGGAGGCGGAATCGACTCGGTACTGTGGTTCGGTATTGATATTCAGTCTGCTAGCGCATCCAGGGCCTTGTCAATCGCCAACATGGGAGAACGTCTAGATGGGGAAATGTGATAAAACCGCGACCTGCTCCCCGTTGACATTTGGACCAGCTGGAGCTTCAAGACTCACCCTTTGCGACAATCTTCCCTTTCTGATCTCAAGTTGCTCGCTGATTCCCTGTCCTCATCCTCCTCTCTGCCTCTTAAGCCGGCGCGCATCCCGTCACCATGGCTACAAAGGTCATCGACAAAGCCGAAATCGAGGACGTTCCTGTCACACAAGAGATGCACGAAGTCATCAGCCTGAGTATCAAGGGCGAGGCCCAGGAGATTGATCGGGAGCTTGAGAAGAAGGTGCTCCTGAAGACCGACCTCAACCTTGTTCCGATCCTCTTCCTCCTTTTTCTCTGCGCCTTTATCGACCGGTATGTGTGGTTCCAAGGTCCCCCGCAATGATCCGTCCGTTGACAACTCTTGTCCCCCAGTATCAACATCGGCAATGCTCGCATCCAGGGTTTGGAGAAAGATCTCAACATGAGCGGCCAGGACTATAACATCGCGCTGTTCACCTTCTTCATCCCTTACATTCTTTTGGAAGTTCCGAGCAACCTCGTCCTGAAAAGAGTGCGCCCTTCCATCTTCATCTCGTCCATAATGCTTGGTTGGGGAGTCATCACCATCTGTCAGGGGGTCACTCAATCCTTTGCCGGGCTTGTGGTCTGTCGAGTCATCATAGGTGTCTTTGAAGCTGGCTTCTTTCCCGGGTGCCTCTATTTGATCTCGATGTAAGTCTTTGCCTTGTCGCGTCAAGATGCGGTGCGTCCACAACCGTGCTGATAGACAACAGGTTCTATAAGCGCCACGAGCTGCAATGGAGATTCAACCTGTTCTTTTCTGCCGCTATCATTGCCGGTGCTTTCAGTGGCCTCCTCGCGTACGCAATTGCTCATATGGACGGGATTGCTGGATACGGCGGTTGGAGATGGATCTTCATCATCGAAGGCCTCTTCACGGTAGTGGTGGCCGTCGCATCATACTGGATCGTTCCAGACTGGCCCGAGACTGCAAAGTTCCTCAAGTCTGACGAGCGTGAACTCCTCATTCGTCGACTGGCTATGGATGCTGAAGGTGCCAACATGAACCATTGGAACAAGAAGGCTGCCAAACGCATCTTTGGCGACGTCAAGATCTATCTAGGGTCAGTCATGTTCTGAACGCATTCCTTGTGCCTGGAAAGGGGCGACTGACTTGAGCCAGCATCGCAATGTATCTCGGTATTGTCACCACTGGCTACAGTGGCGCGTTCTTTACTCCGACCATTCTCAAACAACTCGGATGGACCTCAATCCGAGCGCAGGTCATGTCTATCCCTATCTTCGTCTTTGCCACGATCTGTGCTTTGACCTGTGCCGTGGCAAGCGACAAGCTTCATCATCGCTTTGGCTTCATCTTGGGTGGCTGTCTCATAGCAACCATCGGCTATGCAATCCTATTGAACATGCACCAGTAAGTATACCCTGAGCCGCCACAGTGATCCTCCTCTAAACCCATTTCAACCTTGAGAGACCTTTTGCTGAGAATGGCAAACTAGCGTGAGCGTCGGAGTCAGGTATTTCGCCCTGTATGCCGTGATCGGTGGCGGATATATTGCTCAGCCAATTACTCTTGTGTGGGTGAGTAACAACGTTGCCGGCCACTACAAGCGTAGTGTGAGTTCCGCAATGATGATTGGATTCGGTAACTGCGGCGGTATCGTTGCTTCGTGAGTGAGCCGACAATGCTGTGAGAATCATGACTGACAGTCAGCTAGCAACATGTTTGTCACAACCCAGGCACCCGAATATCCGCTCGGATATGGTTTAGGACTGGGTCTGATCTGGCTATGCGTAATCTCTTCCGTCATTTTCCTCTTCTTTATCAGAAGAGAGAACAAACTAAGAGACCAAGGCGGCCGGGATGACAGGTACAATTTGCCAGAGGACGAAAAGAACAACCTTGGAGACGACCAGCCAGCATTCCGCTTCACTTATTGATCGCTGGATCAGAGTGGTAGGCGCATTGTAGTGGCTTTGATCCACAAATGAATGCAAAATTAAGCTTGATGTCTGATAGACTGGACGTGGTAGACCAAAGAGCAATTGAAGTGTTGATTGTAGAAGATTGAATTCCCGAGTCCACAGATTGAACAAGCCAGACGCGTGAGAAACGCAGAGTTCCTCGGGGGTTTTGTTTTTCACTAGAGATGTGGGTGTTGAGCTGCCGGAGCAAGACCACTGGGTTGACTCGGGTGATCGTTTCCGAGGGACATGTGTAAGATGAAGGCTAATACACCGAGTACACTTGACAACATGCTGCCCGAGGTGGCGGTTCGTTGAGGTCGAGGTGTAGAAAGCGAGTATGCCTTCGTTGTATTACTGGTTAATGCTCCATTGTGCGATGGCAAGCATGGTCGTCACACACTCGTGTCCCCAGTTCAGCCCTCCCACACGTTTTTCATTCTGGGCAGTGGACGGTTCGTGCATTGGCGAACTCAGTCCTCGTGGCGGGAGATAGGCTCTGAGGTGACTTCCACTCTGTGATCCGGCCTGGTACGAGCGATAATATTGCGAGATCGATTCGAGCTGTGGCTTTTCCCAAGGACTTCCGGTCTCAAAAATCACACGTGTTTTGTGGTCCCAATAACGTCGCCTCTGACTTTGTCCCAGTCGATGCTCTTGTCCAATTCCTCGTCCACGAGTCCCACGATCGTGATGTTGTCGCCTCTCACCAGGTACAGGCCATGGCTGACCTGGGAGCTCGGTTCGGGGTCATCTGCCGGACGGATGATACGCTCGACAGTCTCATTCAGAACAATGTTGGTGACTTGATCGCAAGAGAGCAGGGTTCCGACAAGAGTCCGCCCGTCGACAGTAATGACCAGCACCTTTTCTATAACGGAGAAGGGTCAGTGGAGGAAGTGGGAATGTGCTGGGGTGGGGTGGCAGTCACATACTGTCAATGTAGGTTTGGAGGGACATAGCGAGAGGCGCTCAGTCAGCGCAGTCGCAGGCACGAGAATATATCGATGCAGGAGAAAAGGGAAGAGGTGGTACTACCCGGACAGCGACTGCGTAGGTGGTGTGTGGGAAGGTCAGTTTGCGTCAACAGTCTCTCTCTACCATCGTCGTGGCTTGCGAGAGAAACAAATTAATTATGGACTTGGCTCGCTCGCAACTCATTGGGTGAGGCAGAACCTCAGCCTGGTGCAGCCTCGTCGCTTGTTAGCCAACCACAATCTCATCCATTCGGGAAATCCAAGGCACATCCCGCCACGCTTCGTCATGTGTAATATTATCCCCTCAGCTCCTGAGCTTTGTAGAGTACCTGGACAGTTCTGCTGCTCTCGTAGCTTCCTGCGAGACATCATGACAGAGGCACCAAATACAACGTAAATGGCCCACGACCACCCCGACGGTCTTCTCGGAGCGAGCAGAAGGCGTCCCAAGTATACCAGTTCCCTCTTCACCCGTACAACCATGGCTGCAGCGGAACGGACCCCCTCCCCCAGTCTGGAGTCACTGCTCTCATTATGGCCAATTGCCTGCGCCTTGAGCCAAAATCTTCCTGTGGGCGATCTCATCGCCCTGGCTCGGCTGAACGTTACCCTGCGATGTGTGCTTCACGGGTTCGAAACGCCCGACACAACGTCCATGCCACAGGACTCTCATTGTATACGTCCGGAACTGAACATCGGCCAACATGCGACACCTTACTGGCAACGCCTCAAAGACCGGTCGCCTTTCGAATGCTCTTCCCTCATCCACACAAAAGGTCCCGAACCCAAGCCTTGCCGGTATTGCTCGAGACCCATTTGCGACGCTTGCATTGTCCGTTCCTCTTTCGCCCGAGGCCACGAGAATACATTCCAGAACAGGGTCCGGCATCTCTGCAAAGATTGCTGGAATTCGGGAAACCCAAGCAGAACGCAACGCTTCCCGCTTGCTGGCCCTTCGAAGTCGAAGCCAATGTCGAGGAGAAAGTGGTACGACCCTGAAGGCAGTACGAGAGATTACTGCGTTTGTACGCTCAAGGACGACGGGTGGCTCTGCATTGAGTGTAAAGATGCCCAAAACTGGGAGGCTGTGTCATCCGCCGAAACCGAGTGCCATGGTCAAGACTGTAAGCAGCGTCTTGACGCAGACGACAAAGACAAAAGAAGAATCTGTCTCTGGTGCAACAAAGGCTTGCCCAGGCAAGTCGGAGGCACGACCCGGTACCACTGGAACCAGAAGATGATTGAAGCAAGAGCGCGAAACGCTGCGTCGCGCCAGGCAGACTTGGAAGAGTACAACCGGAGACGGCTGAAATTGATGAGGATGTCACGCAGGGAGATGCGTGGCGATGAAGCCGTCAAAGACGATCCAGATGCAGATCTCCCACAGTTCGTCAGGCATCTTGACACCATCAACTATCGGAGCTACATGTCCGAGTCCGCTGCGCCGAGCGGCGACGCAGTCTACGACTCCAAGAGAGGCTACTGGAGGTACACCAGGGAGTTCCTTTTGGAGATGAGAGGACGTTGTGAACGGGTCCCTCCGCCTACGCAACTCAATGCTCTCGAGAATGTCAAAGGCGGCCGCATGCGATTCGCCCGGACCAATGCAGAAAAGGTAGAGGACATCACATCATTGTCACGGGCGCTCCCTCGCTTGTCAGAGGAGCGCATAACGAAATGGTGCACATTGAGAGCGGTTGTCCTTGAACACCTCCTGGTAGAAAAGCGGAGCTATCAAGACACTCAACAGAGGATGCGTGACGAGCATGGATTTGACGCCAGCGTGGAAGAATACCACAAGGTGATGTGTGTCTGGAATGCCCAGGATGCAATCAGGGAGCACCGCAGACAATCACTCGATCGAGAAGGCGAAGCAGCCATCAAACGCAAAGGGCGCTCCTTCGTCAAGCAGGTGTCTGAGCTCATTAGCGGCGAGACGGTCCTGGTCGCCGAGGATGGTGGTGACTTGATGCCCCAGAGCTCGCCTGAGTCATCAGAAGCAGACCCGGGCGATTACGAGCTCACAAGTTTGCGAAGATGGGGCGACACCAACGCCAACCCGCCCAATGAATCTACCCCCGATGATGAAGTCGAGTCCACCCTGAAAGGGAAGATGAGGCAAGACAGAGAATCATCGCCAGCGCAGGCGCACGCCGACGCATCATCATCATCACAGGGACACTCCAATTCATGCCTCCCCCCTGAGGCATCAAATGACGACAAGGATCAAAAGAACGCCAGCACAGTCACTCTTTCTCTACCGGCTCGGCCCACGCAAGCTGAGCGAGCCGAGGAAGCGCTTCCTGACCCGTCATTGAACAGTGAGGCTGACTCACTGCAAGATCCCGAGGAAGCCGCCGAGGACCAACCGCCGCCTTATACTGCAAACGGGTGGGTGTGGCCTTAGAAAGTGGCTAGGAACCAAGGCTGCGAACAGGCGTGTATCAGGTGTAAAAGCCCACGAACATAGAACCACTGCTTACTCGAAGCATCGCGTGACTCAAGTGGATACACATGTGTGAAGAGCTGGCCGAGTCCTTTTGCCTCATGATGACCTCGTATGCCTAGTGGCATCAAACTTATGATACTGCGCAGATGTCGATGGAATGAATTTATATAGAGGCTCAAGCAATTTTAGACCCCCTCGCCCTCGTTTCCTGCTAGTTATTCACAACCTCAATGCGCCAGCTTCCAACCTCCTGCTTGACAATTCTGTCTGACAGACTCCAACTCACACGTTACCGAGCCCCAACCAAGAGACGACAGTAGACAAGGACACCTCTTTGCTCTTCGCGACTCGTCACTCGCGATCTGGAGACCGCAGAGACCTGTACAAGCGCAGATTGCACGAAGGGAAGCCCAAAACAACGCTTCAACCACCTTCTTTCTACCAGTCCAAGCGGATTGCTCGACCAAGAAACCACGCTTGCCTCCCATCCAATTCGGCCCACTGTTCACTGGATTGCAAAGAAAAGTCTTCACATTCCACAGCCACACCTGATATTCTAGCTTCGTTGTGATTCCGTAATAACCATAAACGGCCAAACAGGCCATGTGTATAGCCAGCCACTGCTCGGTTCATCTTGTTCTTCGGATCGACAGCAGCAATGCTGGCCGACGTGGGACAACGATGATTCCATTTACTCTTGGCCAAAGCCCAACGTTTCCTCCACAGCGGTGGATAGTTTGCTTTGGAGGGCATCATATGTCTTGTATGGTGGGAGATCGAGGCGGTTGAAGCTGTATTTTGGTCAGCAGATTGATCCACGAGTCTGAGAGACGAGGATAGCGGGCTAAACATACCAAGTGTGACTCTTCGGCAACGCGTTGATCTCACCCGCCTTCTCGATCGTAAATCTTCTAGGGCCATCGCTGCCCTGTAAATCCTTGAATCCATTGACAGGAATTCGACTTGTGCCTGTAGCAAATTGGAGCAGGCGAGATTTCTGCTCAGCGTCCCATGACCTGATTACCTTCCAGAAGTTCTGGATCACCTCATCTTGCTCTTGGTATCCGCGATAGTCGGTGTGTTTCTTCCAATCATCCACGTCAATGTCGGCGATACCGCCAATCAAAAGCTCGAGTTCGCGCTCGTCGAAGACATTCACAAGGTCAGCGGGGATGAGTTCATTGAAACCAGTGATGAAGGCATTGAATTGTTCTTCAACCCGCTTCTGGATTTTCCACTCGGTGAGAAGCCTAGATGAAGGTTAGAATACTATTACCTTTAGTCGGGAAGGTGGAATTGACACTCACTCGACATATTCTCTCTTGTTTTCGTTAGTGACCGCAATGTCTCGACCACCGGGTTTCAGGTCGATTGTCTTTGTTTCGCCAAACTGTTCGTCCTCAATTGAAAAGGTCTGATCGAGAACGTCGGTGATGTCATTTTCAAGCATCCATGTCAAGTTCTTGTGATATTCTTCGTCAACACCCTCCATGTCGTTGATGGTGACTTTCTTTCTGAGCATCATCTTGTAGAATGCTCCAATGAAGAAGGAATCTAGGAATCGACGATGGAAGATCGCAAGACCAACCACTCGTCCAATGAATTTGAAGTAGTTCAGGTGCTCTGGGTTGATACCGGAGTGAGGATTGATTTGAAGTGTATAATTGTCGTGTGCTGAATATTCGAATAGACAGTAGAATGGGTTGAACATTTCATGTGAAAGGAGGAAGAAGAACTCGCTAGTCAAGTGTTAGCAATGTGAAGGACAACAATCTCAAGGGAAAGTTTCTTACCGAGAAAGACCACCATAATCCAGACCGTCTTCCCCGTCAAACTTGATCATTAGTCGTTTTTTGAGGTCGGTTGCGCTTTGGCGCATGATTTCAGCATACGAGTCCTCAAAAATGGCGCCACGGCGGACTTTGATGTGGCATTGGCCGGAAAGGATCCTCAATGCAGGCTGCGAACGGAAGTAGATCAGCTTCCGCCTGAAGTCACGCTTGTATTGCGGCACGCCCTGATCCAAGGAAGAGGGCAGTCTTGGGTCATCCCAGGTCGTGGTCTTGGTGTTGTGGTCCACGAAATATACCCGCGCGGTGTTGGTCAAACGCATTTCCCATCCACTAGGCAATGGTCCCAATTGCGAGACCGGCTGCTGTTGGATGGTGGTGTTGTTCCCAGACGGGTTATTGCCGTACATCCTAATATACTGCTGTCTTCTAGGATCCACCCAGGTTGTGGTTCGAGTATTGTGGTCAACAAAATAAGCTCGCCCTTCGGGAGTATGCCTTTGTTCCCAACCAGCAGGAAGTTCGCCAGTCCCGGCGGTCGTTGCCCCTGTAGCCATCATGGACACCGCATTCGGTTGCTGAGGTGAGCCACGGGATTCCTGCAAGTTCGGGGAGTTGGCTCCCGTACGATCCTCTGGGAGCATACGGTTTTGGTGTCGTGTACGTTCCATCTGCATGTTGGCCTCCACGCGGTTACGTGCTTCGGTCTCGCTCATGTGGTTGGAAGGCCTAGTCCAGGTCGTGGTTCTAGTGTTATGATCAACATAATAAGTGCGGCCCAGGTTGTCTTCTCTCCGCTCCCATCCAGCTGGCAAACGGCCTTGACTGTCTTCAAAAGAGCTGAAGCCTCCAGATCTCCCGGCACCGGCACCGTTTGGTTGGGGAGTACTACTTCCATTGACTGCAGTGTTGGATGATCTCGCGTCTCCGGAGCCAGAAGTAGCAGTTCGCGTCGCCGGGCTTCTGGACCGAATGGGCAATGGCTGGTTGACGTTGGTGCTGCTTCCGGCATATGGGTTGGAGCCATTTACGCTAGAAGCGGTGCTTGGGGGTGGTCGATTTTGCTGAGGAGGAGGGCTGGACAGATTGGTGGATAAATTCACGATCAACTTGCCATGGACGACGAGGTTGTCAGTGGACTTCTTAAGATCCCTCGTAAGCATCTCTAATCACGGGTTAGTATGTGTTTCAACACGGTAGATGATACTGGGCATACCGTCGCCCCCCATCTCCAGGTCGATGACATCGCCAATCCGGATATTGATGACACCAAGGAAGCCTTGGTCCTTCTTCTTGAACTTCTTTTGGTCGAAGATTTGAATCGCCAATATGCTATCCTCTGTGACTCTCCTGCCCAGTAGTCAATATTGTGTCCCCACAGTCAATGACCGCTTGTTACCCACATATCAAAGACTTCGTTCCAGTAGGGATTCAATGTTTTCCTGATGACCGAAGTTGTCTTTGTTTGTTCTCCCGAAATGGTTGCGACGGCAAAGGGGTCGGGGAATCCTGAATATTCTCAGTAACCACATCTTTGCTGTTCGGTATATATCGACACTCACTGAACACATCTCTTTTATACAGGCCATCAGCCGCGATGACTGGAAAAGGTTAGTTTCATGGGACGGATGGGCAAACTCGAAGTAATAGAGCCATACTTGTGACTCGCAGATTAGGCTCTCTGTACCCTCGCAGTCAGCATCTCCTCGCAATAATGAGTACACAGGGACACGAACGCAGGCAGATTTGCTTCAGGCATCTTGGTTGATTAGCCACTGGGAAGCGCCCCAGGGTTCGCAGCCTGCGGACAGCTCTCGTGCGGCGGGGTAACTTAGAGGGAGGATCTGTTATAGAGAGGACAACCCAGCAATATTGGCTTGACAGAGACAATAACAATATGCGTGGAATCAAAGGTAGTTGATGGACTTGATGTCCGCGGGGGTCGCAGAACGTTGCCCGGATCGTATTCGCAAGTGACTTAATGGGTGAATGAGCGGCGGGTTTGGAGAGTCAACGAGGCGCAGCTCGACAGAGTGTGAGGCGCTAAGAGGTTTGCGGAAGAGGACGGGCAAGGACACGCTCCACCTCGCTCAAGTCATGATTGTGTAATAGCTGAAGAGGCGTAATTACCAATAATGCCACTGTTGCAATGGCAGCAGCAGCCGCAGTCTCGATGGTGTCTTACGGTGCTGCCAATCTGAGGGTAGAGCGAAGGTCGATAATCTTCAGGCGGGACGGAGGTTCAAGTCTTGGTGGGTGGATTTTGACTGGGACAAGACTCTGGGACGAGACCAAAAGGTAACCGGGGCTTACATCATACCGACCACCACCAAAACTTTGATGAACCCCATCGGTGGTTTATATATCAAACACCACATACCGGAATTTGAGGGCGAAGAAACATTCCGCACATCAGGACCAAATCCCCTAAGTCATTATTAATCTCCATATCGTCTCAATTGTAGAGAGATTTGGTCGCCTTTTGCAGTGGCGTCCTCAATCTCTGCCCATATTGATTCCATAAATCTTACAAAAGGCTTTCGGTCTGGTCCCCGTCCATTATCGATCCAAGCAGCCCAAGAAGTCAAGTGCCATTACTGACTGTATGCCATTTGAAATAAATGACAAGTCGCAGTTGACGAATTCTCGGTCCCAATATGCCGAAAAATTCCAGCATCAACGCTGCTTGCATTCTTGTTGCCTCCATCGTGGACCTCCCATGACCTTGAGCAGTGTCGCGTGCTATGTCGCAGAGGACTTGAGTGAAGCCGAGAATAAGAAGGGTTTCTCAGTCTCCTCTCAGTACGGTGCAAATCCACGGCCACGCCCTCGGAAGCCGCCGCGAGGGCCCCCACGTGGAGCACCATAGCCTCCGCCAGCAAATCCCCCATAGCCTCCTCCAAAGCCTCCTCGTCCACCGAAGCCTCCTCGAGCACCACGAGCAGGACCTCCTCTTCCTCTGCCTCGAGTCATGCCTGGAAGATTTGTGCGCTTTGGAACGACCTGCAGTATCTTGTCAGCACCATCTTAGAAAGCTAGACCAGCGCTTGGAACTGACCTTGAGATTGCGGCCACGGAAGACACTTTCATTGAGCACCAATGCTTGAGCCACCAGTCCTGGATCTGAGAATTCCACATATGCATACCTGCGCGATAGTTCCATTAGCAATCCATCTCTTGCCAGGCAGCATGAAATGATTTTTCTTGAGGGTCTTGAGAGAATAGCATCCAGCTCTTGAACAAGCCTTATGCGTGATAGTGCTTGGAGTTTATTTTAGACCCACCCCTTTGGATGACCAGTGAACTTGTCCAGGAGGATAGTGACTCTGTTTATCGTCCCAGGGCCGCTGGCGAAATGTGCTTGAATCTCTTCAGGAGTTGCACCGTAGTCCACGTTGCCGACAAAGATGCTGCGCGCGTCCACATCTTCTCTGTCTTCCCTAGGCATAGTCTCCGAGGATTGTTCGAGGTGGCTCTGCATTTCGCGAAGTTTGGCCGCTTCAGACTCCATCTCGGCGACGCGTCTCTTCATCGCTGCAATCTCTTCCTGTCGACACATGTGAGCACAGATCAACCGAGTATAGGACGGTGGAGTAGTTAGTGGGAGATGCTCACTTCTTCTTCTTCACCACCATCTTCATGGCTCTCTTTGTGTTCATCTTTGACATCGTGTTCGTCAGGCATCTTGATGATCGTGGGAGTGAACGCAAACGTGATGGTTTGAGGCTAAGTCAAGGAGGATTTTGGGCACAGCTGAGATCTGTGGTCGAGAGGCTTCTCTAATAGTCGATTAACAGGCAAGGAAAATTCACATGACAATGCAGGTTCGGTGGTGACTGCAGACGTCCGTTTGTTGTTTTGTGAAACAACAAGGAATTTGGCGTCGTGATCGAAGTGAGGCTGACCTCAAGGCTGAGGACGAAGTGACGGGGCTGATGGTCGTTCGCAGAATTGGTGGCAGCAGTAACAGCAGCAGACGCGAACAGACCTCGAAGACCCCATTCGAGAGCCGCAATTCGGTCCCTGCCAAGCCAGCGGAAAACCTCGCCGCCGGTGCCGCTGCTTTAAGGATCTCCGGGGGAATGTCAGGCTCCGTGAATGGCGCTAGGATCACGGCATCTGGAGCCGTTGATAAGTGCCGATTCAAATGTAAGATTCATTTCTCCTCCATCAATCACTCTCTTTCTTTCTCTTCCTCTTCCAGTATGAGGTTTGTCACACGCCTGTCAAGAGAGTTAGTCAAGAGGACATGACACAGGAGAAATATGGGGAGAACTCTGCCCTGAGCATCCCTCTTGGCGAGCCGCCTGCACCAACTGACCATGCGCCTGACGGGAATATCCATGAGAGCAAGCGGGATTTCACCGCGACCTGCAGGATTATAGGGTGCTTTTTCGTCTTCTTCATCACCTGGGGTGTTGCCTCCTCATTCAGTGCCTATCAAGCTTTTTATCAGAAGGACCTGTTGGCCTCTCATACACCATCCGTCATATCATGGGTTGGCACTCTTCAGGTGTCCTTGATGGGACTGACGGGGATTGTCTCTGGGGCTCTCTATGACAGAGGCTACATTCGAACGTTGTTGGTTGTCGGGGGTTCACTGGTCACATTCGGCTTCATGATGCTCAGCCTTGCCAAGGAATACTATCAGATCATTCTGGCCCAGGGCGTCTGTATTGGATTCGGTAAGTACTCGGCCATAAGCAATTTGCCATGGTACCGTGCTGACGAGTGTCCCAGGTAATGGAATGCTGTATATACCCTCGATAGCCGTCATCAGCCAGACATTCAACGCTAAGCAACGACCACTTGCCATCGGAGGATCATCGTCTGGAGCAGCCATTGGAGGCATCGTGCTGCCCATCATGTTTCGTCACTTACAACCCGAGATCGGCTTCGGGTGGACCAACCGCATATTCGGGTTCATAATGTTGGGCATGGTAATAGCTGCCTTCTTCCTGCTCCAGCCAGATCCAACGCACAGACGCCTCAAAGGACAGCTGTTTGACCCTTCAGCCCTCAAAGAGCCGCCGTTCGTCGTCCTTTTGGTCGGCTTATTCTTTGTCTTCTTAGGATATTGGGTCCCTTTGATCTACATTACGCCTTACGCCCAGTTCTCCGTCAAAACGAACGTCTCGTACGCATTTTATCTGCTGGCCATTCTGAACGCGGGCAGTTTCGCCGGCCGGATCCTCCCTGCCTTCGTCGCACACAAATTCGGCCCTGCGGTTGTCCTCGTAGCTGGCGGCATCGGACTCGGCGTATTGATATTGGCGTGGATCGGGATCCACAACGTCCCCGGCGTCACCGTCTGGGCCGTGCTGGTGGGCTTCATGGCAGGCATCACGGTCGCCATCCCCGCCGCGGTGGTTCCTCTGCTCTCACCATCGCCGAGTGTCGTGGGCGCAAGGACCGGCATGGCATGGTCTGGCTCCGCTTTTGCAGGCTTGATCGGCGGCCCCATTGCCGGTGCTCTCGTCAATACGGCTACGGACGACTACGCGCACGGCCAAGCCTTTGGAGGCGCTGCCAGTCTCTTGGGCGGCCTGCTGCTCATATACCCTGCAATCACCATTGCCAGGGGGAACAAGCGTTATCAAAAGCCTCCAAACAGCAATGTATGACAAGGGGGCCCGACAGGTGGTGGTACCAGCACGAATTTCCTAGACGGTCCCGATGCCTATCCAGACAGCTCTTCGCGAATCACACTCACCAGAGCGCCCTTTGTACTTTTGTCACACGTTGCTCTGCCAGAGCATCGAAACGAAGACCAAGCAAGCACCGGGCAAGTGGCCAAGTCAGAACTCCAGCACAGACGGAATGGTGCGAATCGCCGTGGGTTGTCCAGCTACATAATTTGCAAATCTAGGGCAAAGGGGCAGCATCTGACAGAAGTGAATCGACTGATACACCATCTCTTCTCCTCTAATTATATCCGACGCATGCGGATGAGTTGTCTTTGTACTGGATCCAGCCTAGGAAGGCTTGTGCACAGAATATAGATATAGACATAGACTTGAACATGGCAGCATATATACGACTATATGCAATATCACGTCTTGACATAGTCATTCGTTTTGTCGACTACCTTTGCTCATACCTTGGCCATCCACCGCCACCGCCAACCCAAACACGCCCATCGACTGAGTATGAACGTCCCCATGCTCACTCCCGCGACGACACACATGAACCCGACCATGATCTCTGGACCAGCCGCCTCTACCAGCTCACCACTAATGGGAATACAAACGAGAGCCGCAAGGCTGCCGATGAAATAGGATGTGCCGTAGAACCGACCGAACTGATCCGCCTCGCAGAGCTGACCTATGCATGCCGGGGTCAGCGCCATCCACGAGCCAGTGCCGAAGCCAAAGAATGCGGCGAAGACGTAGAGCGCAGCCAGGGAGGTGTGGCCTAGTGGAAGCCAGACGGCGACCATGAGGATCAAGGTGAAGAGGATCATGAAGAGGAGGGTGTTGAAGCGGCCCACAAAGTCGGATATGTAGCCCGGGATGATCCGTCCAAAACAGGACGAGGCGTTGAGGACTGATATGATATAAAATCCTGTGTCCGGCGGGAACTTGTTGCCGTAGTTCGCGTATGTCGGGAGGATGCCCAGCGCACCAAACAAGACAATTTCAAACCCAAAGACGCTGATGGTAAGAAAGGTGAATTTCAAGTCCCCAAATAGTCCCAACGATATGATTGCTTTCTTCCGTGCTTCAGCAGACGGCGGCAAGCGCGGCTTCATCAACGCATTTGCGAGGACCAAGCATGCTAGGAACAGAAACCCCAGGATGCGCATAGACCACGCGTAGCCATATTTAGGGAGCGTGGTCCTCAGGATCAGAGGGATCGTGACGCCGCCAAAGCTCGACCCCACCATTGCGATTCCATGCGCGAGACCTCTCCTTCGCTTGAACCAATGGCTGACCACAGCCAAACCAGTCGTAGTCAAAGTTGCGCCAGCAATCCCACCTAGGAATCCGAGGCATAGGAGAAACTGCCAGTACTTTTGACATTCTGCTAACAGAAAGACCATGACCACATAACTTATACTCCCTATCAATGCAATCCACCGTGGGCCGTACCGGTCGAAGAGAGGTCCAACCCAGATGCCCAATCCGAGAGCCAAGTAAACAAATACAGAAGGAATCCAGCCGATGTCGCGGGATGTGTAGGCCGATAGTTGGTGCATCTGCAGGTATTCTTGGATTGTTCCAATAGACACCATAAACCCAAACGAAGCAAAGAGAGCGAGGAAAGCACCAGTCAGGACAAGCCAGGCTTGAAGGCCGCCTTCAGGAAAAGTGTCGTTTGGTCCATGGCCTGGTTCTGCCTCGTCAACATCAAGTGTTGTGATCTGTTGTTCAGCATCGCCGTAGGCATAGGCTTCTTTCTGAATGTTAATGGTAGCTGCTGCTTTGGCCTCGGAGCTGGTCTGTATTGGTATTGTGTCACCCTCGGCTAGAGGAACCACGTCTTGCTGTGGTTGGTTATGAGATTCTACCTGCTGAATGACAGGGAGTGCGGCCGTGTCCATTGAGGTTGAGATAGGCGTCGAGGTCTTCGATAACAAGACAGAGAGAAACAGAAGGTAGTCGCCCTCTGCAAATCCTCTGAATTTGTCAAACCCACGATCGTCATCACGCCCTTCGAGAAGTCGTACTTGTCGACCAGAATTTTATGTAACCAAGAGTAAGTGGGGGATGGAAGTGGAGAGCGCAAGCATTACCAAGACGCTCTTCTCCGTCGCCAAAGAGTCGCTTCAGATCTCCGTAGTGGTAATTGGCATCTCATTGCAGTTCCGTAATTGGAATGCGGCTTTTCATTCCCACGCATGTAGGAGTGTCGAATCATTGACATCAGTAGCCCACCTCATCGACGTTGAGTGATCCAGGACATTGTACCCGTTTCCGCGGCTCAGACTTGCCTTTTTTCAGTCTTCATGGGTCGCCTTGGCGGTTACAGTCGCATCCTGAAGGAGTGCTGCATCCAGCGCAAGTCGTGCAGACCTCAGAAGTATCTGTGAATTGTCATCATAGCCGCCCCATCAGTACCCTCCGCTGGTCCTAGGCGTGGAACTGGTCGATTAGTCCGCGGCTCTTCCCGTGTTGCAATGGTGCCGAGAAGATCAACCTTCGTCGATTAAGACGTCTGTCCCCTTTGTCCTTCCTTTGCCAATATCCATCTTTGCAGTCCTGGCGCCGAATTGAATAGCCCTCTTCCTTTCTGCAGCAACTCTCCGCATACCTAGCTTCCACGCAGCTAATCTCAACAACATCTTCGACGGCTCAAGATCTTCGGGTTTGTGTACTCGGCGGGCTTCCTCATAATGCTTGGGGATTTCTTTTGCCGACCTGAACCCGCATTTTTCCCACACCGGAAGACCTAGAGAGAATCTCACGAAATCTTCATCTAGATAAGGGTAACGCACCTCTTTGCCCCAGTGACTTAGAACACGGTCGTCCCGGCCCAAGTTACGAGACCCAATCCGATTGAGATCTAGCTCGAGTTCGTCCGCCAAGTCGATAAATCCACCCCGAGCAAAAGCTGCAGCATGTCGCGAATACCCTGCATATAACTCGTCTGCTCCCAGGCCCGAAAGAAGGGCTCGAGCGTGAGAGGTGTAGAGTTCCTTGGATGGATGCTGTATTTTTGCGTTTTGGGATAGACTCCCTGTGCCCTCAGCGGCAAAGAAGAGTGCCATGGTGATGGACAAATCCATCTCCGTCTTGTGAGGGTACATCAGTCGTTGTATACTGGCTTTGCAAGCCTGTGACTGTTTGTAAGGAACATCAACTGCCACAAATCTCCAGTCTCGGTCCGGGCACACTTCGCAAAGTTCTGCAAAGCTAGAACGACCAGTGACTCTGTCAGGACAGAGTTCATAGGGCAAAACTGTGGTATTTTTCTTCGCAGCTATGGACCGTGGATTCTCAAATGCCACATTCAACAGATCTATACTTTCTGATTTGGGCAGAAGATCATGTGCAAGGCGAGCGAGCAGCGTACAGTCCAAGCCGCCCGAGAAGAGTATGGCGACTTTTGAGGAAACTGGCGTAGCCTGGCAGTGGTGGTGATTTGGAATGTCCAGGAGTCGTAGCTCAAGAGCAGTGTTCAACAGCTCCAGGAAGCGATCCACAGTTTTCAAAGTCGGCATCGATTCAACAACATCCAAGTGGCCAAATTTATTGATCGCGGGAAGCGCATTCGCCCACGGAAGTTCGCCACGTATGATTTGATTGTGTTCCACAGAGATGAAATGGATGGCATCAGTAGACACCTCTTGATCCAATGCGCCAACAAGTGTAATGCCGATACTACACAACGTCAGCGAATCTTCATCGCCGCGACTAGTGAGCAAAGAGCGGCGCCCAAGCCGATCTCTCCCATAGTATACGGTAGAATGGGTAGCATCATAGTAGACAAATGCAAAAGGCCCCGCTATGTTTGTCAGCACTTGAGCAATACGTCGCTGGTAGTCACCATTCTTGGTCGACTGAGAGGCACGCAAGAGAAGATCAAATATTTGGATCGAGTCGTTTCCTTCGACTTTGACTCCGTCCACTTTCCATGCCTCACCATTCCAGCAGAGGATGGATCCTGAGATATGATCTTGTAATGGTTGGATCTGGACTGAATATCCCCGTAGGGCTAGGACGGTTGAGACAAAAGTCAGGTACAGATCGTCGGATGATGGAAAAGCAAGTTTGACATTCAACTCTTTGTAGCTGTCAGGTCCACGTGCTTCGAGCTCCCTCGCAGTAAGGGAATCGGGTAGGATCGCCCGGTGTCTTGCGACCGAGAAGAAGATGCCGCACATAGGGCAATGGCTTCAGATGCTGTGTGTCCGGGCTAATGGGGTATGTAAGTGCACGCAAAGGAAGAAGCACAAGAGGAAACAGGCGTGGATATGAAGCAGAAAAGTGAAATTGCGTAACAATCACCGTGCCAAGAGATATAGAAGGCTGACCAATCAGACGCTGACTTGGATGGATACCGAGTCTTGCGAGTCCACGTTCAAGTTCCCACCTCCAAAACGATCGGTTGGCAACCAGCCACGCCAGCTGCACGATTCCCGCTTGGGGAAACTCAAACTGCGCTGGGGGCCTTGCAGTATCTCCGACAATGATGCAGGGCTGCGACTGTCATCTGAATCCTTGAGGAAGCGCATCTGCCAGTAGCACCTTTGCTCAAAGGGGTATTCTCGACCTTTTACTTGAGATTGCTTGCTCCTCTCCTGTTGACAACGGTCTTCTTTCTCGCTTAGACGGCACCCCTTCTCTCCCCCATCGCGTGACGCCTCGTCAGCCTGTCCATGCTCCATCATGAACCAGCACTAGATCGGCGATCCTACAAGCCTTGAAAACCGAAGAACTTGGAAAACATGCCACAGATCCTCTTAAGCCATCAACTTTCCATCTAAGAGAGGTCGTCAATGTCACCCAACAGCAATCATGCAGCCATGGACGCCAGCAAGAAAGCCGTTTCGTCGGAAAGTACTTCATCCGACCTGGTCGACCTGGAACCAGAGGGCAGTGACGTTGCTCCTGAAAACAAGGTCTCCCAGAATGTATCCTCAGAAAAAGGAAAGGATCCAGAGTCGGATGTGACAGACAGGATATCAGATCTTCGGATCGGACCAAGCAAGACTGCGAGCACACGTGTTTCTCCTCCGAAAGTCCTTCCATCTACGCCTCCTCCACCTGAGCCGCCTGCCGCCAGCGAGAAGCCTTACCTCGATCCTACTCCCAAAACACCCGCAATTTCAAGGCATCCATCGATGAGGACACCAGGGGAGGAATATGATGAGAAAGATCCGGCTTATAACCAAGAAGCGGAGGACAACACTGCGGAAACACCTTTTCAGAAGTCCAACAATGATCCTGATGTGGAATCAACGTCGGAAATCCAGAGTATTATAGATCAGTTCGACGATGCATCGGCGGCTCCTTCAAAGGAATCAATAATGTCCCCTCGACACGAAATGAGCGGACCCATTCTTGGATCTGGAGGCAGTTTTCCACCTAGAAGGTCCAGTCTGGAACACTTGCGATCGAGAGATATGGACGCTCTAGCATCGCCGGTCGTCTCCCATCATTCGGAGAAGCCTTTGCCTTCGCCACCTGCAGGTGTCCTCAATCATGACTCGGGTTCACCGAGAAGCCCTCCGATCAAAAGCCCAACCCAGGCCTCATCGCCCTCTCTTCCGATGCAGCCTCCGCCTCCCGAACCCGAACCTGAACTACCATTTGACTTTCATCGATTCTTGGAGCAGCTTCGACATAAATCTGCCGACCCAGTGGCCAAGTTTCTGCGGTCATTCTTAATTGAGTTTGGAAAGAAGCAATGGATGGTCCATGAGCAGGTCAAAATCATCGGGGATTTTCTGGCCTTCATCACCAACAAAATGGCTCTTTGTGAGGTATGGCGAGAAGTGTCGGACAACGAGTTCGACAATGCCAAAGAGGGTATGGAGAAGCTCGTGATGAACAGACTATATTCACAAACATTTTCTCCGGCGATCCCACCGGCTCCTCCGGTCGCACGATCACGGTCCCGAGGGAGGAGAAAAGAACTGGAAAAGTCTGATATACCTGGAAGACGCGGTCAACACCAAGAAGATGTTGAACGAGACGAGATCTTAGCGCAGAAAATACGGATTTACAGCTGGGTGCGGGAGGAACATCTCGACATTGCGCCGGTTGGGCCGAATGGGGAGCGATTTCTCAGACTGGCGCAGCAGGAGCTCCTCAAGATCAAGGGGTATCGAGCACCTAGAGACAAAGTGATCTGCGTCTTGAACTGTTGCAAGGTTATCTTTGGACTGTTGAAAAATGCAAAGAGCTCCGACACTTCGGCAGACTCATTCGTGCCTTTACTAATCTACGTTGTCCTCCAAGCCAACCCGGAAAATCTCGTGTCGAATGTCCAATACATTCTTCGATTCAGGAATCAGGACAAGCTTGGAGGCGAGGCGGGTTACTATCTGTCCTCGTTGTCAGGAGCAATTCAGTTCATCGAAAGTCTAGATCGGACGACCTTGACTGTTAGCGACGAGGAATTTGAGCGCAACGTTGAGAATGCTGTAGCGGCAATCGCAGAGCAGAACCGTCAGGCCGAACAATTCAGCCCACTCACGTCGACCATCGCCGAGAAATCCTCCCTTGCAGAGCCAGAGCTCACACCGCGAAACTCGATGGATGTGACGTCGACCAGTCCTATACGCCGGGATCCTAATCGGCAATATAGCACCTCAGGCGACGGCTCCGATGACAGTGTAGCAGGTCTCTTGCGGACGATCCAGAAGCCTCTTTCCACGATCGGCCGAATATTCTCTGACCAAGACACCTCATCCCAAGAGCGCAGACCGAGTCCTGCACCTCAAGCGGCTCCGAGGCTGAACCCGGGTGTGTTCCAGCCGCCACCAGCTCATGGCGGCGCAGCCCCTTCGTACGACGCCCAAGAGGCTGCGGCGAGACAGGCAAGCGCGGAAGCGGCGGAAGCTCGACGGATTTCTCGAGCCGAACACAGGACGGTGGTTGAAACGTTGTGTGGCATGTTCCCCAACCTCGACAAAGAGGTCATCGATGACGTGGTGCGGCAAAAGGAGGGAAGAGTAGGACTTGCCGTTGATGCTTGTTTAGCCTTAACAGCAGGAGGTTGATCTCTAGAGATATTATTCGAAGCTTGCAACCAAGAGACAGCATAAGCAACCCGGCGAAGAGAGAAGCCACAAAAGGAGCGGACTCGGGAATCGATCAGGGATAGATCTGCTTTCTTTTTGCCCGTAAGTGCTTCTATTGGGCCGGGCACCCTGGTGTAGGATTGACGATATACCTAGATCACCCTGCAATATGCACCACGCTTATAAAGCTGTATTCATCGCACGGCGCTGCTGGCCCTACACCTAATTTTGAATATTCATATGAGATCAGCAAGTTGAGCAGAAACTGTTTCGTCATCTATTTACCCAGTTTTGTCATTTGATGAGCTACTTACTTAGATATATGGCCGTTGTTTGAGTCTCTGCGACTACCTAGTATTCTTTGAACGGATGAGACGTCATGGAGTGGTTACAATGATGGTCAGGCCAGGCCAATTGAATACTTGGCTGAAGCTACAGACGCTACTGGACAAGAGAGTTGCTGCCGTTGAGCAGACGAGGACGGGGGAGTTGGGGATGAAGAGAATGCAGTCATAATCATAATCATATCACATACATCACTGTTCAACCAGCAAGTAACAAGTGCAAGTGCAAGTAGCAAGCGCAGAGACTGTATGATCAGTGGTCACTGGGTCAGCATACCAGTAAGTCGTAGGTAGTGTGGTTTGCTTGTCGACTCTCCCTCCCGTCCACTTCGCAGGTGCCCTGCGATAGAGAGAGGGCCGGTGTCGTGCGTTGGCACTGCAATATCGCTGTCGTCGTTGGCATCGTTGCGGCCTCCTTCCCGCCTTGATGTTCCTACTCGCATGCACAGTTCATCAAGACCCCGTAGGTACTCGCACAAGTACCCAGGGTGGTCGACTCCCAACTCCTCGTAGACCCTCCTCCTTCGGAACCCACCCACGGATCCCTTGACAAGGTTCGAAAGGACGGAAGAGCGTCTTCCGCCACACGTTACCGAAACCCGTGCACTGGAAAGATTGGACGCTATCGTGACTCGTGAGACATGGGTCACGAGTATATTGGTGGAGAGAAAGGAATCGGATCACCAGTAGTGGATAGGCGACACAGGATGCCAATTGTTCCAAGTGGAAGTGGAAGGAACGAGGTCATGGCGTTTTGGGGAGGAATGATGGGTATACTTGTAAGAGTAGTTGTAGGACTGGCAGGATGAGCCACATCGTCGCGGAGAACGGGAGATCGACTTTCTTGATTGAGAGCTGTCATGGTCATGGTCATGTCATGTCATGATCATCTGAAGAGAGAAGCCATGGATGGATTTTCGTGGTTAGATGAGACGTTGTTCGAAAGGAGTACCTACCTACCCACCTACTCACCTACTCGGAGGTACAAGTAGTCGTACTCGGTAATATCAGACCAGATATTGCCAAATCCTTTGGTGCTGTTGTCTGGGTACGAGTAGGGAAAACGCACAGACTCTGGTGGTGCTGGGAGATCACAGTCTCACATGATGAGATTTGGGCACTGACTGGGGACAATTGACCCAAACCAAGCAGCATCTCTTTTCATTGACTTGAGACTGACTTCTCTCCGTCACCTCCTCACTTTGGACCATTTGGCACGGAAAGAAAACCTCGTCCTCCTCAGGAGTCCCTCATGTACGTTTCTGGGGAAGAGCCAATATCTCGTGACGACGCTTCTCTCGCGTTTGTTGGGGAATTGGTCGATTGCGATGTCGACCCAGCGGCTCAGTTACTCAGTTACTCACCAAGTCGTCATCTTCAGCTCACACTGATCCTCCACATACCAGCACGTCCTATCAAACCACCGTCCGACATTGACGATCACATAAGGAGTCGAGGAGTGGACCTACCGCGCTCTGTAAAGTCAACATTTTCATCAGTCTCCCCTAAACGATCCTCCTCTCAACTGAGATCCTCATCAAAACCCACAAGTATCTGCCCTATGTGCTCTACAGAGCAATCTCCGGGACAAGCCCTTACACGAGTCTCGTGAATTCAGAAAAGAGGAGAAAGAAGGCTGCCAACTACCAGGGGCACCAGGCTACACTCCACGATTTCTGGAGTCCGGAGAACAGTGCGTTTATAACAAGGCTGATAAGGCAGAAACACTGAAAAGTCTGGGGATTTCTTGCCACACTTGCTATTCTCTCCGATGCACCCTCTGGAGTTACTGGAGAGAATACAGCACGTGCGGCCGCCTTCGGATCCGAAGTATCAACAGGTTGGATTGGCTGACGAGGCTAAGAAGTCGATAGCCTGGTGGGATGAGCCAGGGTTCGACCGCTATTACTGACTATGTACTAGGGAGGTACTGGGTGGACCGCCGCGGCGTTTGACGAGGCCTTGCAGCTGGTAGCCACCGAGGCGACACGAAGCCAAAAAACATTTGAGGACACACATCGAGAAAGTCAATCTAGATCGACCTTGCCTTGAGGACAAGCTGAACAAGGGACAAGTCAGGTCAGGTGCGGCATGGGTCCTCGCGAAGAGACTTTCTTTGGATGGCATCGATGGCCACTCAGTGCACTGACTGTGCCACTGCCAACCCTTTTTGCTAGGAAACGGGAAATCCCTTTGGACCGTACGAAGATGGCTCGAGCCTCTGTTCATCATACGAGCATATCTTTGATCTCCTCTCCTCTTGCCACCCCCGGATACAGACTCCTCAAAATGCACACCCCCAGATGGGTTTTTCGAGAAGAGGCGTCTGGTGTTTGGCTGTTGCAAGGGTTGTTGCACGGGGATTTTACGGAGTCTCCATGTCTTGGGAAACAAAAACATGGCGTGCCATGGGCCCGGACGGAGGGCCACCACGGGCCACCAAGTTGGTTTTGCTTTTGCACAAAAGCCTTTCCCTTGTTTGTCCACCCGACTCTGGATTCCCATGGAATTAAACGTCCTTGCCTCATTCGTCAGCTTATGCTCACTACTACTCGAATGCTCGTATGAGGGTTCTCGGTGCCGAAACCACCACCGCTTCTCACCCTCTAGGCCCTTGCTCAGTCACTACCAATCCACTCATCTGACGTGGAGTTTGCCTCCAGCTTTTCTCCCTTGACGACGCCAAAACGACCATAGTCGTAGTCCGCCCCGGAATAATTGGTCCCAAGAATTTTGTTCCCCTTACCCCCCTCCCCCCCTCTTCCGATGATGCTTGTGATCCTCTGGGCCATAGCCCTGGGTATGCATCCACGACGACACTCTATTTCCGACTCGGGCCGGATGGTAATGCACACTCACGGCCTTGGCTCAGCATCCCCCTTACGTTTTGTAAATTACGGCCGGTGGGAATGGGACCAGACCTTAGCATTAATTGTTTTGAAACTCACTGGGAAGAACGGCAACCGGCAAGAGCACTTAGTTTTGTTTTCTTACTAAGTTGAGTCTGGGAGGGGACCTTTACGCACTATAAACCCTTTTCCGTCCCTCTACCTTCCCAGTTCCCTCTTCCCAGAAGTGTTGGAATTTACTTGCCGTCTCCCTTATCCGAGAATACAGCCATAGCATCGGGTGCTCTTCCCAACCTCGACGCAGGTTCCAGTACCAAGGTGGAGATCTCTATTCTTATATACCGATCTCACACTCTCAGTCAATATGTCTTTTATTGACCTCCTCTTCCCCCAGAAGGAGCTCGAGGCTCTGGGGAACAAATGGCACGAGCCCGCACCCAAGAGGAGGAAGTTGGACAGTGGGAGTATTCAAGTGGTGAAGGGGTCTTTCGGGGGTCAATGTAGGCCAAGCAGCAACGAGCAATACCTCCAACAACGCCGTCATCGAGTGTCGACACCAGCCTCTCTCCAATATGGCCGGCCGCCGTCATCCTCGCTCGAGCATACGAATGTCCGCGGCACCAAGAGAGCCAACTCGGACTCTCAGTCCTTCAGCAGCACACCCGACGTCAACGTGGATGCCCAGATGACCAAGGCCATGTCGTGGTTACCGAGCTTCATCGAGCCGTCTCTGGTGCGAAACTACCTTCAACATCTCCACCCCAAAGACCGTCACCGCTACACCATCTCCCACGTGCCGAAGCCAGACTCGAGACCGAGAGAGAGACAGCCTCAGCCTCGACCATCTCCGCCCAGTGTCGTCGAGGAAGCGCTGTCTTCACCAGGATCTCTGATTGCCGACACATCGGCGTCTCCAGCATCTACCGACAGCTGCCCTACTCCGGCGGCCATCTGCGAGCAGTTCCGTTCGGGGCCATTTGGACACATCTTTGACGGGATGCGCCTGACGGACAACGAGCGAGAGATGATGGAAGATCTGCTGAGTCCATCTGCGCCGCTCACCGAGGACGGCGTGGCATGCGGACAGCAAGCCCCTCTGAAGGAAGCACCTCCGACGATCCAACTAGTATCCGAAGACTACGCCGAGATTGACCAAGCACTGCTCCAGAACATGATTACTCCATTGGAAAAGCTTTCTGGGAGACCAACGGGCTTTGCGGTCAGCGAGTCCACCTGCGCGGATGACGAGTATGACGTGCACTCGTCGGGATTGAGTCCTGCAGCTGAAGAGGCAGAAGCATTGGAGGCAGGGGAGGTCGAGACAGCAGAAACAGCGGAGCCAGCGGAGGAGCAAACGACAAGTCACCGGGGATTCGTGGTGTACGACTACAGTGTTCTCAGCGTGGACGACTTTTTTGATTTGGACGAAGCGTCTTCGAGCTGATGGGGGGTTTGAAGGATTTGGGATGTGAGATACCCGGGTTTCTTGGACATGGGACATTGGACATCGAAATGGAGGGGAAGGATGGGCGGTGGGATGGATGGATTGGATTGCGGTTTTCCATTTGCCCATTTCCCATTTTCTCACATGTCAGGTCAGATCGGATCAGGTCAGAATGTGGATGGATCTATTAATTGTCTACCTACGAGGTATTTACTCGAATAAACGAGTAAACGAGCGAGCAACAGAGCAAAAAGGGCTCAAAAAGTCAACGAGTATTTCTAGTTTTTTGGCCCCAATGATACCACATGATGATGATGAGGATAACAGAGCGAGCGAATGAATCCTGTTTCGTTATTTACTTCTTCTCGGGGTTTCACATGTTTTTTGACGAATTATCATCTCCCACCCCCATGATCCTCATCTTCATGATGGAGATGAGATGGAAAAGTCAGGCGGGTGGACAGGTGGTGCATCTTCCGACCACACACGCGCGCTCCAGTCACCAGAATCGGAAAAGTGGATTTGAGCGAGTGAGCGAGTGAGTGAGCTTACCCTTCCCTATGTACTACATCCTACCTACAGACATGGACATGGACACGTATGTGTCAATGTTACCTACCTAGTACTCCCACTCACTCGTACTGAGCAGACAGGGTCGAGGGCATAGAGGGAAGAGGCAAGAAATGTGGCTGCTTTCGACCGCCGTCGACCATCAACACCAAAAAAATTTACAAGGCACGTGTAAGTGATTTTATCCACCTACAGCATGCCTGGGCCCTGGGGCCTGGGACTGGGTGCCCCCTCCCTTATGGAAATTGGTGGGGTGGGTGGGTGGGTGGCCCCCCGGGGAGGGGTGGGTGCATGCACTGGGTCCATACATAGGCGCATCATGCGCTAAAGAGTGCCCGGATATGATACCCACGGAATCAATATTGAAAATAGACAGAGCTTACGAGTTACCCCCCTTAGCACCTAGCACTTGGGTCGTAGTTCCATCGGAAGTTGATGACTGCACCTCGACCATTGTACACACACATTTCACACATTCAAAACCTCCATACCCTCTATGCAGGAAAAGCCACAACCACTTACTACGAACTTACAACTCATCTGCTGGACCTTACTGAGCATTCAGGCATTTTTACAAAACTCCCCCAGATCTGGCACCCTTTTGCCCCTTTCGCCTCTGGCGACCCCTTCCCCCCGGATTCATAATCAGAGTTATGACGCTGTCAAATGCGCAGTGACGAACCTTATACCTCGTAATGCCACCATGATGTTCCGGGAGGTTGCTGAGCTCATGCGCATAACGAGGTAGACAAAACCCTTGCCAAATCCAAAAACCGTTGGGATGGCGCCAACAGAGATCATGCATTGGGCCTCTGGCTACCTAAAACGGAGATGGGGGAAGGGGACAGGACGGGGAGGGGACGGGGGTCTAAACGACGACAACAAACCATGCAGTAGTAAAGAAATCATTTACGAGGTACTAGGTATCCATGAGAAATTTCCCACCGGAAGAGACGTACCTCGTAGGAAAAAGAAAGTGACCATTCCGGTACTCGTACACAATACTAGCATAATCATCAATTAGAACGCCGATGGTCGAGTAGTTGCATCTTGTTCCGTTTCCGTTCCTGTTCCTGTTCAAGGGGCACAGCCCACTTCTACGCAGTTATATAGCCGCGGTTATCTGATCGATTGTTAGCAACAACAAGCTCTACAAGTGAGAAGGAGGTACAATAGTTGGTGGTAGTCTAGACCCAATCCCGCCTGCTTGAAAACTAATTACATTACCTGTAAGGCAACTAGTCGCTAAACGGAACAGGGAAAGTTTTTCTTCCTAGTCATCAGATCGTGTCGGATCCGACAATTCTTGGGTTCCAGGGGCCCCTTGTCCACATACGAGGTATCGCCGAGACGTGCAGAACCAACAAAAGCCACCGGACCGAGCAATACTATGAGTGTGGTGGTTGATGTCTGGCATTACATCGCATCGCATCGCCGTGGTGTTTCAAGACCACGCATGTGCCATTACACATCTATTGTAACCCGTACGTGGATATCTATACATGTACATCTTCATCTCTCCATTCCAGACTTTCTCTGTCCTCACTCCATAACCACTCGTACTCCGTATCTACCTAGTCATACTCTCACACCTACCGACTCGTACTCGTAAAGAATCTCAGAGTTGTGTGTGTGTCCGGCCAGCGGACGGAGCGGCAACCCACGGTCCGCCAACTGTGGTTCGGCTGATTGGTTGATTTCACAGCATGTCGTTTTAATACGACTACGTCGTACCTCTTTAACCGTGGCTAATATGTGACCAATCGCCACGCTGCGCTTTCACCTGCGTCTACCGCTTATGCGACACCACCACCACCCCTTGCTTGGGATTCAAGCCCTCATCATCATCATCACATCACACATCACTAGGTACTCTCCTCGATACGAGAAAAAAATTAGGATATTCACCGATCGTTTTGCCAGAAACCTGCAAGGACAAGGGACCAAAGGCGCAAGGATCTACCCCGCCCGCTGGAAAAAAGGGTTGGGAAATAGGTAGACAATGCGCCTTTCGGAGCATTTTTTACACTGGCATACTCCGTGCACTACCCACCTACTCCGTAATCCCCTTCCTCCGCCCCGGCCTTGTTGTTTGGGTCTTCTCAGAAGTTCTCCAGCCGAGCCTTGCATGCATGGATGTATGTATGTATGTATGTATGGGGCGTCGTGTCGAATGAAGTGAAGAAGATCCAGATTTGCCGTGTTGCCGCATTGCCGCGTTGGCCGCCTTCGTGGGCCGTAGACCGCGTTACGGCCTCGTTTGGCTTTCCACGACCGCCTTACGTAGTAGACAGACAGACGGCCTGGACCTTCGGCGCCGATACTTCCGAATAGGTACTCCGTGGTTGACCTGTTCGAACTTGTACAGTAGCATGGCAGTGCATGGCGTTACTCTGACGAGTTGTCGCCGAGTCTACTCGGTCGTAGATGCTTGTCACCTGCACAGTACATGGATGTACCGAGTACATAGAAGACAGGCCTGGATAGACAGGGCGATGTGCACCAGAGACACCAGGGACCATCACAGTCGAGGGAATAAGATACAGAGATTATTGAGTACTCGGTTCTCGGTTCTCGGTACAGTACGAGCCATGTATGTACATACTTCAAAGTGATTGAGCGAACAGACAACTCAATTCCCGTTCGTTCATGGCCCCCTTTCGCCGGCGTTTTCTTGTGATTATTATTTGCTCAGGGTACTCGGTACTGAGCGACCAGCCGAGTCACATACATACCGAGTACCTACAGTATCTGGCTGGCATCGTTGGCTGGCTCCTTGCCCGTATGTACATACATAGTCACTTACAAAGTCCCCTACTTTTGCTGATTTGCGTTTTTCGTACCGAGTACTACGCCATCTATGCATGCATGTGTATGTACATGTCCTTGTCCCTGTACTTGTACTCACACTTACACTTCTACATGTATCCATCCATCGAGACATCTACTCGTACTCATACCTGTCCTCACACATGTCCTTGTACTCGTCCCGGTATCTTGCATTGATTAGGTACTCGTAGGTAGGTAGGTAGGTAGGTAGGTAGGTAGGTAGGTATGGGGATCCACAGCCTCGTGGCTACAGCTGATGTCTGATGGGGTCGAGAGAACGGGGAACGCGGCATGGTATGGCATGGCATGGCATCGGGATGACGGGATGCCATGGGCTCGCGTCGGGGAGAGACGACGAGGCTCCGGTCACCACCAACACCCCCCTTTTCTACCTGTCGGCGAGATGTCCGAACCCAACTACAGACCCAAGACCCATGGGCCATGATGGCTCATCTTGAGTTGGCATTCCCCACGTCCAAGTACTGTAGATCTAGTCGAGGGCGATCGTGGGTTAGCAGGGTCAAGGTGGAACATCACTACTCCGTAAAAAAGACACGACTTGGTCTCATGTGTTGCTTCTCCTACAAACATCTCCCTCGGATCGCAGCCATCAAGAGCTCAGCTCTGAGGCTTCGCTTCGTCCCATTGTGCTCTCTATGTACGATACTCGGTACAGCCTGACCACTGACCAACATATGGCCATGTCTGTACCTTCTAATAAGTCGTTGTTCGTTGCTCATCAAACAATCCCCACCCAACCGTCTAGACACATTCATGCAAATCTCAGCCGGACTTCTAACCCCACCGATCGTCCCACGTCCCGTGTCTCCTGGCTGTCGTCCGCCTCGCCACTGTCACTTCAACCTGACCCTGCTGCCCAGCCGCCTGACTCTGACCGTGGCTTTGCCCCGAACCAGGTCTTGAGCCTGCCACGCTACTGCTGCTGTTGCTGTTGGTGCTTCGGCCTTGGCTAATGCTGCTAGATTGCGCATGTCTGGCTTCCCTCCTGGCTCTCTGCTCTGACACGGGGGTCGATGTCACAGGCGTGCTTCCACCGCTGCTGTGTCCTTGATATGTTCTTGTAGAAGTTGCCGAATTGCCGTCCTTCTCCGCGGTCGCCCTGGCTGACCCAACGATACTCTCTCGTGTACTTTGTCTCGACAGACGATGCGGTCCTACCATACCTGTGGCGGCAGTCGACTGACGAGGAAGCCTGCTCTTGTTCACCGTCATCTCCGTCACAACGCTCGCTGTGTTGGCTCGTGTGAGGCTGGGCATGACAAATGCCGGAGAGTTCTCGCGCACATACGTCGACCCGTCTCGACTGGCTGGTCGCATCACGTTTGTGCCGTTGACGTAGACACCATTGCGCTGCCGACGCGGCGTCTGTGCGACCGGAGGTTCGTACATGTTCATACTCGCGCGCTCGGATCGCCCCAACTGAGGTGAAGTTGGCATGCTCATCTGCCGGTCCAGGAGATGGGGTGGCGTCGTGGAGCTGGTTCGTCGTTGGAAGCCTGGGTGCTTTCTTCGAGCGCCGTTTGTGGCTGAGCTGCCACCCTGCCCACTTTTGATGCTCACATTGTCCGTCTCCTCGCAGGATCGAATAAGCTCGCTGGCCATGCTGCGGACAAGCACCGCAGAATCGGAATACGAAAGTTCTCGGACCACATCGTACAGCCCGTACTGGTCCAGGAGGTAACAACCTTCTTCTGTCGAGTCGCAGATGCTGCCAATGATACGAAGCAGGTTGAGACGGATGGCGGGTTTATTATGACCCAACTTTTGGCCCAAGATGTCGAAAACTTGAGAGCTTCTCGCCATTGATGCTGCCAGAGGTGGCGAGAGTCGAAGCAGCTTCTGCAGAGGCTCTAGAAGGTTTTCAAATGAGGTCGACTTACTGCTAGTCAACGCTGCCACGATCGCAGAAATAAAATTCTGATTCTCCAACAAGTGATCTTCGACTCGGGCCGTCTCTTCTTGAAGCCAGGTGAAGATTGCATCCAAAGCCGTCACTTGCCAGTAGGGGTCTGACAGCAACGAGACATAGAAAGCAAGCCCCTTGTTCTGCCAAAGCTCACGGCGAGCAGCCCTGGTGGAATGAGCCATGTCACAGAGAATGGGCAGTGCAAACTCTTTGACCGGAGTCTTTTCTTGCTTGACGATTTTGATGAGAATTGGAATGATGCCCACGAGCGCGGCATCTTCTTGACGTCTTTTCGATAGACGGCAAAGGTTGTATATGGTGTTCAATATCTGATTGGACATCTCCCTAAAATGCGGCTTGCTCATGCTATTGCTGAGGAGTTCAGATAAAACATCGATAGCATTCGAATTGTGAAGCGCATCCAATGTGGTCGACAACATGGACAAGTTCTTGATGAATTTCAGCATCGTGACTTGGTGGGCGGGTGCCATTCTCTTGAGATTCTTCAAAACCCGGTGCAGAACGGTCCGTTCAGCCACCAGCTCCTTGACATAGTTCTCTGCCTGGGAAAAGACGAAGAAAATGCTGGCGATCCGGCCTTCGCACAAGTCCGCCAGCTCTTTCTGCTCGCCAGAGTCTGATGGCTCCATCAGAACCCGGTTCAGGACGAGCGACAACGGCTCCAAAACCGAATTTCGAGACAAGATCCGGCAGAAATCGTTCTTGGGGGTCGATCCTTGTAGTTCAAACACACTCCAGATGCCATTGACTCCTATCAGCACCAATTCTCGATCGTCGTCGTAGTCGTCTTCAAGAAAGTCTACCAGAACCGTCAAACCCCCAGCGCTGACAAACATCTGGAGAATGAGGGTGGATGTTTGATACATTTGTCGGACGAAAGCCGCAGCTTCAAGGCGAATCTCTCGAGGAAATTTCTTCGAAGCGAACTTGTTGATCTTTGGTATTCCCCCGACAAAACATAGATTCTCCTGGACCTCTTCATCATTGAAAATGATGGCGTTGACAATCTTGAGAAGATTGAGGACAATGTCTAGACGCATGCAGTCTTCTAAAATCTCCAAAATCGGGAGCAGGCCATGCGCGCTGATGATGACGTTCTTTGTATCCGAGAAGAGGTCGAAGAAATTCATCAAGTCCTCGGAAATCTGTAACAGTGCATCGTCGTCCTGCAAGACTTTCAACTGGCCCACGAGAACCTCCACGTCTGTCCTCAGTCGCGCGTGCTTGTCGCGGGCAATATTTGACTCCAGGTCGACTTCTGGGAGGCCCTCCTCGAGTTGTGCAAAAGGGTCATCCTCATCCTCAGCATCCGGAAGCCATGATAGATTGGAGATCTTCGAGTTTAACATTAGCTCCGAGCCATCTTCGCTCTCGGCTCTCTCAAAGACTGCAGTTGTCTGCGCAAAGACATCTGAAAAGTCCTCGTCCTGCTCGCTCTCCGCGAAACGTTGGATCTCGATCGAAGATCGCGTCCTCCGCATAGACAGTTTGTTTCTGGGAGCCGGATTCCTCTTGAGACTACCGCCTGTCTTGGGTGGTCTCATACTCTGAATTAGATCGGTAACACTGGGCGAACCTAGAATTTTGGAAGGCGGGTCACCCTGTAACCGCATCAGTCCAAGTTTGGTGTCCAAAGTGAGTTCATTCCCTTGGACGATATCGGAGAAATCTTCGACAGAACTCTCCCGGTACCGTCGTGTTGGGGGTTCGTCTTGTTGTACTTTCGGGTGCGGCGGTTTACTTTTGGAAAGGTTCGTTGTCTGACGAGCGGATGGCAACGAAGCTTTGCGAGGCATCGGCGTGGGCTTTGCCTTTGGCTTGAGAGGCACCTCAGACTTGTGTCTCGCGTGACGAACCTCCGGTCTCTTCGTTGGCGCAGTGGTGGCAAGGCGAATTGTTTTGTTCACGTCCACATCGGCCAGCGAAGTGGCTTTGAGTGTCGAGTCCTTGTCTTCCGCTGCCTCATTTTCTTTTCCCAGTGCACTCTCCATTGAAGCGAAAGCCTTCAATCTATCAGAAGACAGCATGCCCCCAAAGTTGTCGTGAGGTCTCAGATGCGGCAATTGGAAAGTGCTTGGTGAAATAGCCGTTGCGAAGTCATCGTCCCAATTGTCCTCGTCCTCAAGTGAGCGAAATCTAGTGGTGTTATCCTTACTGAGGAGTGGGATGGGAGATTTGGTATGAGATTTGGTTGGACGAAGCATGTCCTTCGCCACAGGTATTGGGCTGGCGGTCGAAGCATTCGAGTTCTTCCTTATTGAACTGCCATTCGGAGAATCCTTAAGAGCCTCGTTCCATTCTTGCACACTCTTTATTGCCTCGTCGTACTCAGTGGAATTCTTCGGCCTGTCCGAGTTGGTCCTTCTTGCATTCACTATCCATGGATGCTTCAAGAGCTTCTTGGCCGACACTCTCAGATTTGGATCTTTCTGAAAACACTGCATCAAGAAGTCCATAACAGCAGGTGATGCGCCTTGCGGCAGGGGCGGATGGTCATCATTTACAATGCGAAACAGAGCAGGCATCGGCTGGAGGTTGTGATATGGCGGCTTTCCGTCGAGCAACTCGATTACTGTGCAACCGAGACTCCATATATCCGAAGCGGTTGTTGCGCCTGTCAACTCGATCACTTCGGGGGCCATCCAATAGGGGGTTCCAACGACGCTGGATTCATGTAGTCCTGTGGTGCGGCTTGCCACGCCAAAATCTGCAAGTTTGACCAGTCCTTGCTTGGTGGTGAGAATGTTAGCACCCTTGATATCGCGGTGTATGACACCCTGGTCGTGGAGATAGACCAAACCCTGGAGCACTTGGGACATATAGAGAGCCACCAGATTCTCGGGAAATCGACCAAAGTTCTTGGAGATCGAATGGAGGGATCCATTCTCGCAATATTCGAGTATAATGTTGAGGGTTTCGGGCGTCTTGACGAATCCGTTGTATTTGACAATATTGGGGTGATCAAGATTCTTCAAAAGGTCAATTTCCAGCATAATGACCCTCAGTTCACTTTTGGGTAAATCTGCAAGCTTAATCTGCTTGACAGCCACCGTCTCTCCCGTGCCCCAATTCAACGCCCGGTAAACAGAACCAAAGGCACCTTTACCCAGGCAATCACCCAGTTGGTAGTCTTTCAGCTCGGCCACATCCTGCGCCTTGGTCTTCTCTTTCTCCTCTCTCTTGGACGGACTGGAAGGAGGCTTGGGCGTTCTGGTGACCTTGAGACCCAAGCCATCGACTGCTCTAGTAGTAGGGACATCTTCCGGGGGTTCGGCGGTGCGAGCAGGCATCTTGATATCGAGGAGAATAACAAAGGGAGGGAGAAGCTAAAAGGGCAAGGCCGAACTGTTCTCTCGCATTGTCCGTTGGTCCAACTGCAGTCTGGTTGGTGAGAATCAGAGTGATTGGTAGCTGGTACAGCGGCCAACGCAGGATGCCGGGCAATGGTCTGGAACTGCACCGTGTGGCTGCGGCATCAAGTGCGGGTGTTCTGAATGCCGCTGACTCGTTCTGCGCAGTGGCGGTCTGTTGATGGCTCTGTCACGCAGGAAATGATCGTGGACAGTCCCCAAAATGGCATGAAATGAAGACATTGAACATCAAACAAACAGGTCCATCAATGCGGAAGGCACGAGATTGGACTGGCTTGACTGGGCTGCCAGATGAGGTCGGCTGCTGTTTGGCCTACCAGCCTACTAGCTCTCGCTTGCAGTTGTGTGTTGCAGGTTGCAGGTTGCAGGCTGCAGGGCGATCCGCGGCCGCTAACTACCCTATCCAGGCCTATCGTACCGAGACCTCCACTCTACCGTCAGGGACGCGTCAATTGTCATCGCAGCACGCGACTTTCTTCTCGAGGTACCCGCCTCGTCTATCTAGGTACAGAATTGCACACTCTCTCAGTGGTGGTCACTACTGCTTGATGCGAGTCTGTTCTGCAGTCATCTCTGACCGCTGATCTGATGGTCATTGCTTGAGTGGGTTGTCTATTGCTACATGATCGATTGAGGAGAGAAGGTCCCCCCCCACTGCTTCACTAACAAGTCACAGATCGCCATGTGGCGTCAACTGCCAGCACACACAGACACCCGTCCACATCTGTCAAGGCAAGCAAGATATGCCTCCTGATCCAAACAGTCGGTCCATGATGCTAAATTTGTCCACAACCGGATGTCTGACTTCACCTAGCCCGGCAGCCAGAATGCCCTGGGCTGCGTATCGAAGGGAATAACTCAGGAAACAGACAACCCAGACGTAACCGACCGTCCTGGTTTTCCCTGCCCAGCGTCAAACCTATTTCCTGCACCTGATTAAAAGGGGAGGCAATCGCTTACACGTGTCCTTCAAGTCCTTCCTCTTGCCTAGGTATACGACAAGGTCTTCAAACATGATCGCAACAGGCTGGACCATGAAGAAATAGACTTGGCACCAACCAAGGGAAGAATATGGGCAATTGAGGGCACCAGCATGATGAATAAGTGCCGACATAAAGAAAGCGTTGTATAGCTGCAGATACCGTGAGGCCAAAGTACCATTTTTGACTCTCAACAGGTGCAGTAAACACTTGTTCACACTCTCAAAGATCCGACGATGAAATTGATGCCTCAAGAGCTGATCAGACGAAATTAGTACTCCAGCATTGCGGATTCTACTCACCAACAACACCCCCATATGTTCCTCACTGTGTGACCCTTTTCGAAGAATGAGCCGAAGATTGGAGGCCACGATTGAGGCATATAAAGCCCAGACCCGACAGCGAACGCCGCTCCAAGGTAGTAGCTGGAGCCCAACGTAAAGCCACTGTAGAAGGCAGAACACCATCCGAGGAGAATTTGTTGCCAGAGTGGGATGGTGAAGATGTCGGAGACAGCACCAGTCCGCGCTCCACAAACCGTCCGACGCATATACCATTGATGAACGTCCATGTAGAGAAAGCAGTATGAGGCTCTGGCAATCTGCTCTAGGACGAATCGACTGCATCAGTTAGAGGGCGGATGTACCCAGGTGTGGCTCTTCACCTGCGAGAAAGATGTTTTGGGACTTTGTCAACATTCTTGACGCGCCAATTCCAGCCAATTCCACGCATGGTTGTAAGAAGGGACACACTCCACTGGAATTTTTGCCAGAGAGTCATCTTTTCTATGTCGTCGGCAGTCTCGAACGTCCCATCCGACTTTTCTCGACAAAACGTCTGCTCGGCAATATGTAAGACCTCAAAGTCGATGCATCTGATCAAGATCAAGCAAATGTTGATGGCATTCAGATAGTCCTCTTCCGGCCTTCCGGCCGTGTGTAGTCGCAGGTTCGCAAGAATGCACAAGATCGCCGATATGGAAGTTATCTTGCGAAAATGTCCTGGTGAAAAACATAAGCTAGCAATGCCAATGACTCCTGCTCCGATCACACTTGGGCCGCCTGATTGAAAGGGACGATCTGGCGGAGGAAACCATTTTGGATCCATTGCTGAGTTACAAAGAGAAAGAAAGAAAGAAAGACGGGAGAAGAGTAAGAGAGAGGGCAATGTGAAGGGGAAGTATCTTTTGGGCTGAAGATATTACACAAGCAAAAGGCCGATGACAATCAAGCTGTAAACGTGCAGAATGCGAATACGAAACAACAGTTGGCACAACGCAGCCAGCCAGGCATGTACGTAGTGGCGGCAAGGCCGTCATCAAAGTGTCTTTTGTTTGTCATCGAGAGTCTCGGGTGACGCAGAAGCGTTGTTGTCAACTGCAATGGGAAACCCTTCTGGGCATGTACGTGTTCAGGGAAAGGGGGTATGAAACATAAGTTATTTGGTTGATAGGTACCTCGCACTGTATATACCAAAGATGAAAGGCCGGGAGTTGAGCTTCTCAAACATAGCCGTGTGCCAAGCCCTCCAGACACAGACCTGCAAACTGATGCTAATGATGCCTTTGATGCCTAAGTAGGCTTAGCAAGCCTAGACAACCGCAGGCATCTCTGGCGACTCTCCCCCAGCCACACCCGCGGAACCCGCTAAGGGATTGCGTTGCCTCGTCAAGTCTGCCTCACTAATTATTATTCACTGGCAGCCAGCAGCCACCACAACTAGCCGGTCTCCGCCCATCCCTTTCTCCTCCCCCCCGGATACTCGCTCACTGGCTCGCCCAAGGCGTTCGTTCATTTCTATTCTCTCTTCCATCACCAAGGATAACTGGGTGCTCGCAAAACAATCCATCCCAAACCCACCCTACCAGTTGTCTATCTCAACCAACTCTCCACTCTTTTCTATTGTTTGTCGCATCTCGTTCCTTTGTCGTTGTTCGTTCCGACTCTCCTCTCTCATCATTGACGTTAATTTACCTGTACAATTGCGATTCATCTGTTGCGACAACTATGGGTTTACCGTGAGTTTGCCTCAATTTTTTCCCACCCCCACCCCCATTTGAGATCTGGCTGCGCTTCCGCGCACGGTATCAACACCATTGTTTTTCTATATCCATCGCCGGCAAGCTCCTTTGCTAATCAATATGCATCCAGTATGTTCCAAGATCCTGACGAGATTGCTGCAGAGCAACCTGCTGCAAAACTCGATCAGCTTGCAGCCGCAGGACGATCCAGCATCCGGCGCGAGTCCACCGTGCGACCAGGTCGAATTGCCGCTAGTCGTCGCGCTGCACTTGAAAGAGTACGAGAAGAGATAGGAGAACGCCGTCGTCGGCGTCGTGAGTTTGCCGAGGTAGCGCAACACTACTCTGCTCAAGCAGCTCAGCGCGAGCGCGAGCAGCTCCAGGCTGCTCAAGAATTACGCGCTGATGCTGAAGTCGAGGCCGAGGCCGTCGAGGCGCAGCGCGTACGATTTGCCAGACTGAGGCAGCGTATGCAAATGAGGGATCTAGAACGAATGCTTGCCAGCAGAGCCAACCCTGAATCAGAACCGCGGAGTGACACGGACGGGGCGCCCGTGAGCCGAACACGCGTCGAATCCGGCGGAACACCACTAGACGACATCGCTTCGGATTTCATCTTCGGCGCCCTTGTGTCCGAGTCTCAAGAGACCCCTACTCAACCGCTTCCACCTCCATTAAGAGAGTCGGGCCTGAGATTCGAACTGGGCGTGGTGTCCCAACCCGAGTCAGAACCTTCTTGGCATACTATACCTTCGAACGCTCGCCCTACGAGGGTCGTCAGCCCGTCCGGGAGCAGACGACCACTCTGGTCATATTCAGTTCACCGACCAACATTCGCGGGCGTCGAAGACGAGGAGAACGAAAACGGATACCGCGCTACTTCACAGCCTCGGGCATTCGCGCCAGCCGTCGGAGACATTGGAATGTCCAGTCTTGCGACAGGACGCCAACGGTCTGCGTTTCCACATTCCCAAGATTCCGATCACATCTCGCACCGCCCACAAGGGGAGTCGACATCAAGACTTGACGGACTTGGAGACCGCTTGCGTAGTCCGAGTCCGATTTCTGACGACCCGGTGGAAGAAAACTGGGAAAATCTCTTGGACACAATGGAAACGGGCCGTTCAAGTACGGCGACTTCCTTTTTATCATCGCGGTCGAATTCCAGGAGTGGCTCTCACCAATCGTCTCAGGCTACGACTGCTACGACTAGCTTTGGTGAAATAGGCGGGGATGATTCATGCGACTTGGATCTCCCCTCGGGCATCACTGAAGAGGACGTCCGAGAAATACGCGCACGACATGGAAGACTACGGAGAAACCCATCTACTCGTCTTGGAGTGCCTGAAACACGGAACAGTCTCCTTTCCGACTCATCGAACCAGCACGATTCTTCAAGGATCAGTGACAGGGTCGTCGAATTGGAAGTGCTCGGATTCATTCTCAATCGAATGCAGAGACGAGAAGAAATACCGGATGAGTTGTGGGCTGCCGTCGGTCTGTCACCAGATATTGTGAGAGGCTCTTCGTTTGATCTGGCTAGACACTATGCTTGAAAGTCGACTGGATACAGAGGGCCCACCCACGGACACCTCGCTGCGGCTACACCTTCGATCAGACTATGATCCTGCTGATCTAACAAGACGAACAGAGCACGGCATGTGAAAGTTTGCCTCCGTGCAGTTAGAGACAACGACCAGGCATCTGATCACCCTCCTAGGGCACAACTCTTGCTGGGCACAGCAGAAAGTTTCTCCATGCGGACACCATGATGCGAATCTTTGTTCTAATTTCCAGCTGACGCCTTGCCGCGATACGATACGAAAAGTCAGCTTCAATGTTTCCTTTAGTCCTGTGTGTGTGAACCTGGAACAACTTGTTGAATGAATGAAATGGTACGGTACGGTACGGAAAAGAGAGCGGCTGAAGATTTGGGAACTGGATCAGTGGCAGGGTCAGATTTGGGCTTCTTAGGATGTTGACGATTGGGATTCAATGACATGGGACCAAAAAGAGACTTTACAGGGTTATTATGCCATGGCTGGACTGGAGCATGTTGCTTTTTATCAATTTATGTATTTCTTGACAGAGGTCTGTCTGTGTTGGTCTATGCGCCTGCCGTCACAGACGAAAAGCAAAGACGAGTATATCCTCGTTTGATTTCCATCATTCGGTTTTTATTCCTTTGTACTATAGGTATGTGTTGTTTGTGGACGCGCTTTGGTCCAGTCACACATTCTTCCTACATGGCAAGGGAGCATCGACACAAGTTACACGGAAACACAGAAACCAGCCCTGCATGCTGCAAACAGGCGCTGAAAAGCAAGTCCTCCATTGCCACTTCTTCGTCGTGCCACACTAGATTGTTTAACCACCGTCCCTCACACCAGATATTTCACATGCCAACTCCATCTGCAGCGAGCATAGCAATACTATCCATCCTAGTCATCCTCTCCCTCCTCCTCTCCGCCTCGTCCCTTTCTCTATCTTCGTCGCCGTCTTCGTCCCCCTGTAACTGGCCGTCCACGTTTCTAACCTCCTCGCTCCGCCAGGTCTCGTCCTCGATACTGGGCACAATCTCCTGGACGGGCAGTCTCTTCTCCAAGACCTCCTTGGCATTCCTCATGTCGCTTTTCTCTGTCCGGTCGAGGCTCTCCTCAAAGGAAGTGGAAATGCCGGCAGCGAAGTTTCGCTTTGCGACCCGTTGCGTGGCCGTCGGGATATCCACGTCGACGAACCACGTCTCGTCCATCAACTCGTGAGCGTCTCTCCACCCGGGCTCATCCAGGGCCGTGTACAGACCTTCAAAGAGGACGATCCGTGCTGTCGGCGGAATGGCGATGTCATTCGCCACGGGATCCTTGACTGCGTGGTCGAAGCTGGGTGCGTAGATCGTCAACGTCTCTGGGCTGATTGGTTTACGCACTTTCTCGACCAATTTGAGGTAGCTCTGCGAGTCGAACGTGAACGCCGCGCCGCGGCGGAAAACGGCCTCTTCGGCATTTGGCATCTCGCTGAGCTGTTTGCGGGTCAAATGGTAGCCATCAAGCGGCACGACAAAGGCGATGTCTGGCCCGGAGCGGCTCGGACTGTTGGGGAAGCGCTTGTTTTGATGGCTGTGGTGGGCTTTGTTAAGGCCCGCGCAGACGGACGCAGCGAGAGTGGTTTTACCGCTGCCTGGAATGCCGGAGATGGCGATCAGGAGGCGCTGTGAGCCGTCGCATTGCTGAAACCTCTCTGAGATACAGACATCAGCGACAAGAAAGCAAGAACTAAGCAACTTGTACGGGCTCACCCCAGGTCTGATCAACCAGGCGCTGGACATGGGACTCCATGACCGGCTTATGAGTGAGGCTTCTCCTCGTGTTCTGCTTCGGATAAAATTGAGTAGTCGAGGACGATCCTCGTATATACACTGTCTTGTTTCCTACCTGTCGATAGAGCTTGATAGACCTATATCATTGCAATGTGCACAATCTTATCAATAGTCGCTCAGCTGCGTCAAGTGGATCACATCCGTCATATTTCACTGGCGAAACAAGGCCCGGTCCAAGGTCTCGGCCTTATCCAAGTGGCTGATAGACCTCGGGGGTAAAAGGCAGGTCTTGGCCAACGTCTAGATAAGTCGGGCCGCGAGGGTAGAAGAAGGATGGGAATCTCGACCTTTGGTAAATGGGTTTTGTAAACGACAGCTGGAACGTCTGTCGAGAGGCTCTAGAATTAAGTGACCGAAGATCAATGGTGGTTGGTATTGGGGGCTTGATAACGAACCGACTTGGTGAGATTCACGGAGCTGGAACCATATTACTCCGGGTCAGGTCACGTGATTACCCGCCCCCGTTTGAGCCCCTGGCCAATCCGGCGAACGGCGCGTCGTCGCCATCCCCGGACTTGGTTCTCTGCACCAGGGGGGAAACCATCGCCATTTCTTTCTGCAGGGCCAAACAACTTGGACCCAACGTCCTCCATATTCACTCACTTCTTCCACTCCTTTCCGACTGAAGTTTTGTACTAACCCTACAGCAGCGGCCACCCTTCTCATTCTTTCTCAGTCACTCTTTCATGACATCCCTTGTTTGTTTCCTGCCACTCGTTCAGCGCTCTTGAACCATTCCCCTTTTTCCGCCAAAACACCCCTACCACGTACCTACCTACCTGGCAGCTCCTACCACGCGTCACACCAACGCACACCACCACCGACGGAGACACAGTCGAGCTAGAGCCCTCGATTAAACCTTACAAAAGCCAAGATAACATCATCATGAAGACCTCACTGCTCCTTCCATTTATCGCTTTGGCCGTCCGGGTCCTGGCAGATATCCCTCCCGCATGCCTTCTCAACGCAGTGAACACACAAGACGAGCCGGGCGACCTGTCAACCGTCTGCGGTGACGACGCGACCGACGTACAAAAGGCAATCGCGAGCTTGTGCAGTGGCAACGTCGTTTCGGCTGCACAGTCTGCATTCATCTCTACTTGCTCTGCCGCGGGTTCTTCAGTCGGTATGTTGCCCCATCCTGGGAGAAACTTCGAACATAAGAAAACATTTCTTGATGGGTATTTGACTGACATTGTACCCTTTCCTGTTGTGAATGCGCAGCTCCCTACACAGCAACATCTTCAAATTCTGCAAGCCAAACATCTGGAGCTGGAACATTCGTCTACACCACCGCCGTCTACAACTCCGACTGCAGCTGCACCACGACGATCGTCACCACAGCCACCACCGGCAGTCCTATCTCGACTGGTCTTGCAACCGCCACAGATGGAAGTGGTGCTTCCGGGTCCAATTCAGCAGGCGGTGCATCAGCGACCGGAAACGCCGCCGCGGATGCCAAGCAAGTTGGAAGTTTTGCCGCCGCTGTTATTGCCATCGCCGGTGTTGTTGCAGTTTTGTAAGCAGAGCTGGCTGGAGATTTGGGAGTGACTCTACGGTCAAAACACAAGCAGCGAATGTCACTGGGTTAGTTTTGAGTCATCAGCGTCGCCTTCTGTGTGTGAACACGTGGAGACACGAAGAGAAACGCTTGTCCGTCATGTTGCAAAAGTACCAGCCGTGTGTCAAAGTATTCAAAGAGAGGGACGGAACACCCCTCGACCGTTTTTCGAACTTGGAGATTTGGAGTCTTCCATTGGCAATCTGGTCCTAAACAATACACTGAGAAATCTTCTCCTGCGGAGGAACGGGAGGGAAAGGGAACCAGCTTCAAACTGAGCACCACACCATAGATGCGTGCCTAGATAATGGGGATGAATCCGAAGATCAAAAGACATTTGGCATGCTGGCCAGAGCCTTTTGTTTGAAAAAGCCTTGCTTCTGTTTTTTTTGCCGATTTGACTTTCTTTTGTTCTCTCATATCAGCTCTATCAAAATGACCCAGCGGCTTCGACAAGTGATCTACGGAGTCTAAAATCCCTCGTTATCTCTTCTTTCTTTTCGTCGATCTTTGGTGTCCCCCCTCTCCTCCCTCCCTGCTTGTTTGGAGGGGGGACACGAGGCTGCGCCGGGGGCGAAAAAGCCATTTCCCAATCGACATGACACACTGGGGAAAAAACCAAATAAGCCTCTCTTTTTGCCAGGGATCGTCACCTCCGAAGCCAATACACGTATGTTGGTCCAGATATTTACACGTTTTCCCCGTCCCGTCCCATTCCAATCCCATCATGAATTCTTTTCCTGCGTCCACGGCATGTCTTTTAGCGGATACACATGTCCTCCCTCCTCGGACCGGTACCGATCCATTTAATGGGCACTCCGACCTCGGTCTCGATGAATTCGATATACTCCCTCGCACGTTCGGGTAGGTCTTCGAATCTCTTGCAGCCGGTCGTTTGAGTCATCCACCCCGGGAATGTCTTGTACTCAATCTCCATCTTGTCCATGACATCCAGATCCGCTGGGAAACCAGGCAGCGTCTGACCGTCCACCTTGTACGCTGTTGCGATCCGGATCTCTTCAAAGCCATCTAGGACGTCAAGCTTCGTCAGGTTGAGTTGTGTATAGCAGTTCACGGCCGCAGAATACTTGACCAGGACGAGGTCGAACCAGCCACAGCGCCGCTTGCGACCTGTGGTGACGCCCCATTCGCGGCCAACCTGTTGTAACCGGTCACCATATTCGGCGTCCTTGGGCGAGATTGCGGCGTTGAGTTCCGTGGGGAAGGGACCGGAGCCGACACGGGAAGTGTAGGCCTTCACCACGCCAACAATGTTGCTTCCTGGCGCTGAGAGGGATTGAGGAGACAAGCCAGCAAGACCCGTGAAAACACCGCCTAGGCCGGTGTTACTGGACGTGACATAGGGATATGTGCCATGGTCGATGTCAAGAAGAAGCGCATTGGCACCCTCGATCAAGATGTTGGGTTGGCGAGCACCAGCGCCGTTCGAGTTGGTCGTGGCGATTCCCTTTGTTCCGACCGCCTGCGCTAGTAAGGGCGTCTGGTCGACGACGTATTGCTGCAGTTCTTCCCGATATCCGCGTAGCTTTTCGATCTCCTCTTCTAGACTGTAACCCTCCAGTGCGGCATCGCCATACAATTTGCGGTAGCTAGCTTCCAGGTCCCGTAGGCGCCTTTCCCAACGCTGTTGTTCGTTGACGAGCATCCAAAACGTCACGCCTCTCCGGGCGACTTTGTCGCTATAGCATGGACCGATGCCCTTGCGGGTAGTGCCAATCATGTTCTTCCCGCCATCGACATTCTTGAATTTGTCTTCGGAGATACCGTCGACGACGCCGTGCAAGTCGAAGCATACATGAGCGCGGTCCGAGATCAAAATGCGCTCCCGCACCCCCACTAGCCCCTTCTCTTCTAGTGCTTTCAGTTCTTTGAAGAAGCTGGGGATGTGCACGACACAGCCAGTGCCGATGAGATTGATTTTGCAGGAAGGGTTGATGAGGCCAGAGGGGAGGATATGGAAGTCGTACGTCACGTCGTTGACCACAATGGTATGGCCCGCATTGTTGCCCCCCGCAGCGCGGCAGACGAGATCAGCAGAGGTTGCGAGGATATCGACGAGCTTCCCTTTGCCTTCGTCGCCCCATTGGGAGCCCAACACGAGAGTGACGGGCATGGCTGAAGAGCTGTAGAGTGTCGATGTTAAGGTGGGAATGTGGAAAGGGAATGCAGCCCGAAATCGGAGTAAGAAATGGCGCGAGACTGGCGAGAGGAGGACGAGGCTCGATTTGCTACCACGAGAGATTCAAGACAAGAAGGCGGCAGCCTCGATGTTCAGGTCGATATGTCTGTCATTATCTAAGATTTCTGACTTCTCAGGGCAAAGACATAACTGCAATGCTACGGCTAACAGAGGTTGCTAATTGACTCACGTCGGATTTTTCCAAGGATGGTGGGGTTGGGGGTTGACGAAAAGATTCTTCGGAACTTGCACAGACTGCGCAGGGCTGGCAGGTGGCAGGTCTTTTTGGTGGGGGTTGCGCAGCCGCATATGAGCTGTCCTCATGCAAAAAGGTCTCCAACGCGCAAAAAGCCAAAAAGCCAAAAAAAGAAAAAAGTTGCTGCATCTCATCATCGTGCCGAATTCTATTTGTTCGCTTCTTGTTTACCTCTTACCCTAGTGTTTGTCTTTCGATTATACCTACTCGTACACATTTACACCTGAACGGCTCTCCGTAATACATATTCCGCTTGTTTAGTGCGAGAACTATACAATATTTCCAAACACTGCCAACTACGTACGAGGGCAATAGGTACTGTACATGCTTCAATGCCGGGTTGATGCCTCCGCTTCCAGCGACGTGTTTCAGGCCCAGACAGGAAAGATGGAATTCTACAATCACTGCCGCAACGGCAAGCGTCTGCTGCTGTCTTCTCCCTTTGTTCACTCACATGTTCCCGAGACATGCTCAGCCTCGCTGCTTGCTCTCATGAGCTGAATTCCGGTCCAGAATGCAAACATCTCCATAACCCCCCTTGTTGCTCTGTCCCATGTCGTTCTACCTCTGTCAATTCCCGTGAGCTGGCTTTGTCTAACAAACAGATTGTCTCAAAATACAATGACACTGAACAGCATATGTCTTGGAGCCTAGTTTGCGTCGGAAGCAATCGCAAAAGCGTCATGGGCACTCCTCTCAATCAGCATCGCCAACGAAGATGGCATAAATAGAACCAGCACGCCCCGTGGCAAGGACCTCTCATCTTTCTTCATCTACGAGGTACAGATTGCCATCTCAACTACACAGCAGCGCTTCCATCATCAAAGACTTCGCCGACAGCCTTGTTCAACCAAAGCAATCTCACAGCACTCCGACATCTCTCCACAAAGACCTCAGTACATCCTGCCATCATGGATGTCTTCACCAGACTCGCTTCCGGAATTTACATACGCCAAAACCATCAGGGAGACCAAGACCACCGGCCGCAAGCTCAGCGCACTCGTCCTCGCCAGGCACGCCAGGCTCTCCCGGTCCATGACCTCCAAGACGGGACACTCCACCGCAAAATAGCCGACACCAACGATTACGTGGCGGAAGCAAAGTCCGAGTACGACTCCCTGCGCAAGCAGCGCCGACTCCTACGCGAGAGACTCGAGCAGTTGGACGCGAAGATGGGGAAGCAAGAGGAGAGGATCGTGCAGTTGCAGGACTGTCGTAGCATGTTGTTGGACGAGCAGAAGGCGAGGGAGAAGCACCGTCGGGGAAAGAAGGGTGACAAAGGGAAAGAGGATCGTCGTCGAGGAGGCTGGTGAGAGGTCAGACCAAGAGCAAGCTCGCTCCACAAGGCTTTCTTTCGTTCTAGAAGGGAATCTGGAACTCTCGCGTGGTGAAGGGCTTGGAACTTGCGGGTCACAACAGGGAATGGAAGGCAGGGACGGAACTCGTGTTGAGACGCACATGTCAGGTAGATCCTCCACATGACATGAGGTAGATCTGGAATCAATGGCTCATTTATCTAAAAGTCACAACAAACACAAGAAACTCTATAGAATCATTGCCAACATCGCCAGCGTTCAAGGAAAGTTAGAAGTTCAAGATCATCCATTCGTACCCGCTGGTGCGGTGTGGTCTCTCATTGCCCATTAAGTGCGCCATTCTGCCAAAATCCCCATCAAGTTTAGTTGGTCGAGGTCCAGATACCTCAGAAAAAGAACGTAGACAATGTCTGCTAGCCGCAGGCTCCGACACTCCATGCCCGTCCCGGTTCCAAGAGATTCCATCCGTCTCGGTTTCTCGTCTTTTTGCACCTCTTTTTCTATTCCTATACACCCTTCCTCTTGTTTAAAAGGCCGTTTCAGACATGCCAGCGCCATTGCTATCCAGACGCCGTCGATGACATTCCACATAGAAAATCCTTTTTGCGAAATCGTAGCCGCAGCCAAAAGTAAAATATCGTGAGAAGAAGTTGAGAATAAGGTCAAAGTCCACGCTCAGAATTTATCGCCAACCATACCCTTGGGTACTACCGGTCTGGTATCGTAGTCAAACCCGTCAGGATCCCGGAGAGCGAGCCCGGCACCCGTGCCATAAGGATACCCGCATTCAGTTGGCTGGCTCGGCCTCCTCGTGCCGCCAGTTTGGCGGGCCATCGATTCCCAGCGCTCTCTTCGCCCTTCAGCGCTGGTCTCGCTTTCGAAGCTGCCGCGGACACGGTACACGGGATCCAGTTCCGCTGGCATCGGAAAAGCAGGTATCGGGGATTGCGCCGTGGAACCGGCAAGAAGTGTCTGCGAATTTGAACGAGAATGAAAATCCGCAGTGTTGTCCTTGCCCGAGCGTTTCAAGTGGACATCTTTTGATATTCGATGTAGCATGTTGACCTTGGGCTTGGATTGCGCAGGATGAGGGAAGCTTGAGATGAGATTAGGTGATGTGCTGAATGATGGGGATTGTGGTGAGGTAACGGCCGATGTGGTCGTAGATCCTGGCATGCTCTCAAAGTTGAATGGCTCGATCTCGTTCAGCTTGAGGCTCAAATGCGCAGCAGTGTCAGGAACCATTGTTGTTGCAAGGCTCGAAATGGTGGCAGCCTGTGATGCCTTCCGTTGATTTTCAGGTCTCGGGGCAGTCATTGGCATGACCGTATCGGGGGGAGGCCGCGCCGGCGGTCCAAGAGGCGCCTTCGGGGTGGGATGAAGAATAGATTTGACGACGAAGGCAACGCAGATGATTACTCCTAAGCCACCAAGGCCCACGCCCATGAACCAGCCACCGCGAATGCCGGCCAGCGGATCCTTTCCATTGTTGTTCACGTGAACTTCAACGGTAGAGGCAAGGCCGAGACCGAGAGAAATGGAGTAGTTGACAACCGTACTGATGAGACTCCCAGCAACACCTTGTTGTTGAGGAGGAAAGAAGTTGGACATGATCAATGTCGCTGCCGGAAAGGACATGTCCATGCCAAAAGGCATGACAATGAGACTGGCGAATGTCCAGCTCCAGTAGGTCGTCTTGTCAATATTCGAGTCGGCCGCCAGAAGGAGTGGACCGAATGCGAAAGCCACCAAAGCCCAGAATAGAGTCCACGAGGGGCGACATTTCCGCATCATCCAAGCCGTCAACACCGAAGCAATCAAAGCAACAGGCACGATGGGTAGGACTTTCAGTGCAGCCCCAAGAGGAGTCTCATGTTTGATCCCGAGAAGGTACCTCCACAGAAACCATGTCCATATTCCAAACGTGGCCCATCCACATGCAACAGCGCCAAGGACAAACCCAACATCTGCCTTGAGCATCTTGAATGGTACCAGTGGTTGTTCGGCAATCTTGAGCTCCGTGATAACAAAGAAGGCGATGAGCAAGAGACCGATAATCAGCAACATGAAAATGTACTGAGTACTCCACCCCGAGGCCGGAGCAGAGACAAGAGAGACTTGGACGCAGATAAGGCCTCCAACACCGGTGAGGGCCCCAAGCCAGTCCATATCCCGCAATTTCTCCTTGACTGGTAGCATCTGCTTTGGAGTCGGTGGTGGAGAGACCAATATAACAGAGGCGGCTACTGCCAGGAAACAAGAAACACTGGCGAGAGTATAGAAGCTCCACCACCAGGATGCGAACTTGGTGAACAACGCTCCAAAGATCATGCCCAGGTAAGCTCCCACTGGTGCACACAGACCGAACAGCGTGAAGGAGAGGATTTTCTTCTTGGATCCCGGTGGATAAGTTCGACCTAGCAGCGCGAGACCGTTTGGCACCATCAGACTCGCACCAAGACCTTGAAACCCCCTCGCCACGAAGAACAACTCATAGCCGACATAGTGACTTAGTCCAGCAACGACACTCCACAGACTGAGGAGGGAATAGCCGATCACGACCATCGTCTTATGGCCAAAGATGTCACCAAGTCGGCCTCCGATCAGAATAAAAGTTCCGAATGACAATGCGTACGCAGCGACAAGCCATGGCAGTACTGAGGGGTTTGAGATGGTGAAGGACTGTGCGAGGTCCCGACTGACCGGGAAAACTGTCGTCAAGGTCGATTGTGGGATAAGTTGAAGGAATGCTACCATAATGTTGAAGAGGATTTCTTGTTGTTTCGACATGCGCGTAATTAGCCAGCCGCCAGGTGGTCCAGGGGGTCCAGGAGGTCCAGCAGGTGGTCCAGCAGGTCGACCTGTAGGCGGTGGACCATTTGTATGAGCAGCTTTCTCCATATCGACAGGTTCTCTGCTCGCAAGGTCGTTGTCTGTTGTTGGAGAAGAAGAAATGCTTGACTTCAAGCTACTGAATTTCCTGGGAGTCATGACGGATGGTGCATTTCATGACAAAAAGAGCGTCCGGGCGATGATGAGGATGTAAGACCTAGTCGTCACAAAATCTGGGCAAATAGCTGAGGAAGGGGATCAAGGGAAGGGATAGAGGACTATAAAGTGGTGTACCTGACCAGATGTGGCTGCGTGCCAGGGGATGGATCGCGACGTCCTTCAGGCCTCACATCGGCGCCGACTTACCGCTGGTATAACTTAGTCTTACTATGTATGTCGCTTTCGTCTCTTGCAAGGTGCATCCGTAGCATATTACCTTATTATCGTCGAACCTTGCAACCAGTGTTGGGTTGCGCAGTGGTAGGGTAGGTGGAGACGCGCACAAAGTCTGTCGGGGAGGCATTCTCCTTGGACATGGGTCTTCGAAAGCCACCAAAAAAGCCACCGTTGAAGCTTCACACCCAGATACAGGGCTTGGATTGGATACTCGCAAAGGGTGCCAGGCGCAAGGTCTAAGGCAGACATTCGCAGTCGAGCCGGAAAGAGCCAAGAATGTTTTGTTTCCAACGCCCCTTGCAGACGATCTTCTGAGCAATGACGATCTCCCGTCCTATTCAAAGTTTACCAGGGATCGGTGGACTCAGTACCCGACGCAGGTACCGAAGGAGGTAGAAAAGTAGTAGATGATAATGAAGATCACTAACTGCCTGATCGGGACATATCCTGATTATCGTATGATGCAGGAGGAGAGGTGCACCCAGACTCGTCCTCGCAGATAGCCAGGATGGATTAACAAGGGTATCTAGGTATCTGGGATCAACCCCGGTCGTTCGTGGGAGATGCAGTGCCACCAAGCGAGTGGCGTCAGGCACAGACCGAGTGCTTGTACTGTACACACAAGTAGCGAACCCGGCTGAGGATGGGTTTGGGGGCTGCATGACGCGACGGCAGGCTGAAACGACGTACTTTGGTACCACGGCGACGATAAGGGCGTCATCATTGGGTGGAGGGAGAGTGACTGAATGGGAGGTTCCGAGGTGATGAAATTTGATCGAAGGGTCGGAAATTACAGACGACAGTGGCTCCCTGATGCAGTGCCAAGACAAAACAGACCTCAGCCTCAATTTCCGCCCACGTTGTCCCGCTCCCCCCATCAGTGACATCCCTCACCCCTCGACGCGTCTAGCTGCCCTATTGACCGCGTTTCTCAATCCCTATCAGGCCCCTCATCCGAGTTCTCTGCTCTACTGGGAGATACTCGTATGTTCTTTGCCCCGCACGGAGGTGATAGAGGCCGACTACTTATTGATACACATGCCTGCGGTTGCCCTCGTGCAACAAGCCGCCCTTTCCGGGAGATTCGAGGTCAGCAATTACTGCATCCGGATCAGTCCGAGACATGAACGCGATTGGCAATTCGACAGCAGCAACATCAAGACCTAAAGAACAACCTCAGTGTCTGTACCACGCTTCCCAATCGGAATTCCCGGTACAGTCTACCCCGGGAAGGTCCTAAGAGCGTGTCCTACTCGAGAAGGGCCAAAAAACCCATCATGGACGCAGATTGCCCTACCCACCTTCCTTTACGAGTACGGGCACTTCAGACTATGGACCTCCTCTGCCAAAGTACGCCTTACGAGTAGGTCCAATGACACATCACTCCTCTCTGGCGATCTGGCGGGTCTATTCTCAGATGCAGACGGCTATTGCTTCTTTGCCGGCGCATGGTTCGAGCGACCCCGACGAGTAATCGGCAGAATCTAGAAATACGCCGACTTGATGTTGTACAGCCTGGAATATTTCTGCATTCCACAAGACGGAAATTACCGTCAAGCTGCAAAAAGCAAGGCAAAAAAGCGTGAATGGTTCCACAAGGCAGGTTTTCGACTGGGCCAAGCTAGTTCACTGCAAGCTACGTATGAAGCTTGGATTTCCCTGACTTTCGCCTGGTACACAATGTCTGGAAGTCTGGCACATTCATATGCGTGCGGCCTGGCGGACACGAGAGACATGAATAGCTCATGCCGCAACTGGTACTTCCAATCAACCAGGCCAGACGTCCTGTGTTGGATTCAATTCCCATCCACCCCTTTGAACACGGTCCAGTACTTTTGATGACCATGACCCTAGTCAACAGAAACAATCAAGTAGTGTCTCCGACCTGCTTCAACAATGCATGCACCGCCTCAAAGGCCTTCTTTGCAAATGGCCCCATATCATCACCATATTTCTGTGGCCCCTTGCCATCGAATATTTCCACTGACACCCAGCTTCTGAAGCCGGTATTGAACACCGCTCGGGTAAAATCTTCCACGGGCAAGTAACCCCCGTCGTATGGAAGTGGTCGATAGTCGTGGCTCCACTGGCCTCGAGGCCTCAATCCGCTGTCATCTGGCTTGTCGTCCAACGGTGGCTCCATTTTATATGCATCTGAGATCTGCAGTAAGAATATCTTCTCCGGAGGAATTGTTTTTGAGAGCTCTTCGCAACTGGTCTTCCATCTCTTGTCCAACTCTTGTGTACTGATATTTTCGATTCGTCCAGATTTCATCGTCGGGCTGCCCCATTCCCCCCCTGCGCTCTGGAAAGTATCGAGGCACAACCCCAGATTGGGCCTGTCGGCCTTGTTGACAATATCCCAGACATCCTTCCACGTCGTAGCGTGAGTGGCCCAGCACCAGTTTTCGTATGCGATTCGAAGCCCTTTCTCCGCAAAGATGTCTGCCAGCTCAGCTAGATCAGCCGCCAGGTCGTCAAAACTAGGCGAGATGCCCTCAGCATCAGATGATCCAATCTGTTCTCGTGGTCAATATTACTATGTTTCAACCACAGCTACGGGCGAAACGAGCCTACACACCTGAAGCATATCTGTTCCGACTGCCTCCATTATGCTCATCCACCCTTTGGCTCTCTCGAAAGCATCTCGTCTTTCTTTGCTATCCTTAGGCCAGCCCTCAAAGTTGGCAAACGGCTGCAGCATCAAGACTTTCAAGCCTTCTTTTTCGCACATTTTCCCGATCTCTGTTGCAACTGATCGAAGTGTTTTGTAATCCTTTGGATCAATATCTGCCTTGGTCTGGGAGATCTCTCGCCCGTACGCGAGAATGTCGGGCATTGAGAGCTCGATAGCATCGAATCCAGCAGTGGCGAGAGTCTGCAACTTGGCTGGGAGCGTATGCTTAGAACCATCGTGTCCTATAGAGCACGAGGCGTAACAGACTGGAATCTCCTTCCCATTGAAACTCGCCATGACGATACAGAGAAGGTTTGTGAACGGTACGTTTTCTCTTTGGCTTTCAAAAGTGCTTGCCTCTTGTGTACGGATAGATCTAAGGAAAAGGCTGCGGCCCTTTTGTCTCTTGCTATACAAATTTTGCAGTCCGTACCAAGTCCAAGGAAGGTATCACCTGGGAGTTGTCAATACATGGCCGAGTTCGGAAATACAAGATGACGTCAACGGATATGGAGGAAATACTGGTCTCTCACAGTAGCTCACCGGATGTCTTTTCCTGCATGACCTATTGCTCCTGAAACGATGACGAAAAGCCACCTACTCAAACTTCACGCCTACATCCCCGACAATCTCATCAGGCCAGTACATGGACACACCCCTATCAACAGTAAGAGACATTCAAAACGGACACGATGGGTCAACAGGACCGTCCAGAGTTCGAGAAGGTAAGTAATGAGCATGGGGCTGATGCTGCCGCGCCGAGAAGATCATCAGAAGCCTAAACACCCAAAAGGTTCGCGTACTGACCCGACGCGATACAGCTTGGCATGATTGGCGTGGGAAGTATGGGCGGCATGATGTCTTTGTTATATGCTGAACACGGAGTCGAGGTTCACTACTACGATCCAAGTATGAGATTCCCATATTGGTTTCATGGCTCACTCCCCGGACCACGACCCTTGATACTCACTATACCTAAACAGATGAGGAAAATGTCAAGCAGCTCCAAGAGCACGCTGAAGCCATCCAGGCCCGTGACCGTATTGTGCACCAGAAAGACTATAAAGAGCTCTGTGAGAGCATCTCCTCGCCAGGTTCACCCAAACTTTTCGTATTCAGCATACCTCATGGTTCTGTGGGAGACGAAACCGTTGAAAATCTGCGCCCATATCTAAAGGCTGGTGACATTATACTCGACTGCTCAAATGAGGACTGGCGAAACACAGAGCGGCGACAAAAAGCCCTTGATCATGACGGCATTCACTATATTGGCTGCGGTGTAAGCGGCGGATACCAAAGCGCCCGACACGGCCCTTCGATGTCTCCCGGTGGCGATGCCGAGACCTTGGAGAAGATCGTCCCGTTCTTGGAGCGAGTCGCCGCGAAAGACAAGCAAGGTCGCCCGTGCACGACCGGCATAGGACCAGCGGGTAGCGGGCATTATGTGAAGATGGTGCACAATGGCATCGAACAAGGCATGATGTCGGCCATCGCCGAGGTCTGGTTCATCTTGAATAGATGCTTGAAGATGTCTTACGAAGAGATTGCTGACACGTTCGAGTCGTGGAACGGGAGTGACCCTCTCCGGGATAACTTCCTGGTGGGCATTGGGGCAGACATTAACCGTACCAGGGACGAGGAAGGGAATTTCGTGCTGGCCAATGTTTTGGACAAAGTTGTTCAAGACGTGGATAATTCTGAGGGCACGGGCGTCTGGACTTGCGAGGAGACGATCCGTCTGCACGTCCCCTCGCCCACCATCGTCAACGCACACCTGTTCCGCCTCGCGTCAGCAGACGCGGCCAAGCGGGAGCGGGTTAACCACGCGTTCGGGGGCGGCACCTCGCAGCCGGCCACCATTCAGTTGGAGGTGCCGCACGAGAAAGCCTTGCCGTCATTCATCGAGGACTTGAAGCTCTCCCTGTACGCCGCCTTCCTCTGCGCATTCCTCCAGGGGCTCAGCATCATCAAAGCCAAAGACCGCGAGCAGGGCTGGAACCTGGATTACCGGGCGATCCTGCAGATCTGGCGCGGCGGCTGCATCATCCAGAGCGACTACATCTCGGACCTGCTGGACCGCGTCATATCACAGTCCGACACACCCAACGAGGACGACGTCGTCGCCGTCGACGACCTCCTCGCGCACGCCACCGTCGCGGCAGAACTAGGCACGTGCGTCGCGTCGCTCAAGAACGTGGTCCTCAAATCCCTCGCAGCCGACGCCTCCATCCCGGCCCTCTCCGCCACGCTCGAATACATCAAGTACTCGAGCTCGACGGAGCTGCCCACGCAGTTCATGGAGGCCGAGCTCGACTACTTTGGTGCGCACAGCTTCGACCTCAAGTCCGAGGGGCCGGGCAGGCCGCTCAAGGGGTCCCACCACTACGAGTGGAAGCCGCCGCGGGGGATCTTTGGCGATAAGTTAGACGGGACGAGATAAAGCCAAAAAAGGGGTGGGTTCTTTGGTGGACGAGCAAGGAAGAGAAAATAGGATGTGCATCTATGGAGATCTATCTTGTCTCTTGTCTCTAATCTCTTGTGCGCATTAGTCTCCTCGGATATATTTTGAGGATCTTCCAGAGAGAGGAAGAAGAAAATCATTTGAGCCATGTTTGCATGTATGCTCCCAAAACACGGTGATGTATAGATTTACCAGATGAACGTAACCCCTTCCACGGCAAATGCGACAATAGACATCCAGTCTCTAACCCACCCTCCCTTTTCCAACCTACCAAAAACCCAAAGCGAGAAATAGCCTAGTCTAACTCACAGTATAACTCACCCGACTGGTGCCTTTGCTCCGACTAATCTTCTTCACGCCGACCTTGCCACACAGATCGGTCGTGTCGACGTGCGTGCCACCACAGGGATAGACGTCGGCGCCGGCGATGCGGACGACCCTGTACTTTTCGCCGGGGGCGAGCTTGACGCCCTCGTCCGGGTTTGGGATCAGCCTCTCGAGGCCTTCGCGCCGAAAGTCGTCGGGGTCCCAGAACTCGATCTCGACGGGCATGGCCCGGGCGACGTAGTCGTCGACGCGCTTCTGGATGGGCTCCTTCCACTTGCCCTCGATGAGGCCCTGGAATTCGCAGGCCGCCGAGTCCGGGAAGTGCGAGGCCTTGAGCTCGTCAAAGTTGGCCACCTCCTTCTCGAGCAGGTTCCGCACCGCCGCGCCCAGCACGTGCCCGGCCGTGTGCAGACGGGAATAGAGGAGCCGTTTCTCCACGTCGATGGCCTGCGTGACCGACGCGCCGGCGGCGAACGTTTTGGCCGGGTCGGCGAAGCGGCCCAGGTGGAGGACCACCCCGTCGTTGACGACGTCCGAGCGCACGGCAGAGACGTCGAACCTGGCGCCTTCGTCGGCGGACGATGTGATGGAGCCGACGTCCGAGGGCTGGCCGCCTCCTTGTGGGTGGAAAATTGTCTCGGCCGTCGTCACCACGAGGGAATCCTCATCTGGGACGGTCTTGAAGAGTTGCCGGCTGGCTTCTGCGAGTTGTTGGAAAGGTGTGACGGATGTGACGAGGGTGGAGAGCGTGTAGAGTTTGGCATTGCGCTGATAGGCAAGGACCGTTCGAGGCAGAGACGTCGCCATCTTTCTTTGATACCGAGGTAGGGTACCTAGGTACTGGAGGGTAAATCTCGACAGGGGTTGACAATAAGCAGGAAGGCTGTATTTCAGTCTGAACCAAGTTCGTGATATGTAGTGAGCATGGATGGCTCTTGGGTAAATTGATAACTGCGCTTTTCTGGATATTTTTTTTTAGACGGGGAGGTTGCTGATAGATATACAGTATTCTTTCTATGACTCCTTGCCCATGAAGAAAAAGAAAAGGTCAATGTCTATGGGATCTAGAAAACGCTGTACAGAATGCAGAACAAGGAAAAGTTGAGAAAGGTATAGAAGAGAAGTTATCACAGGGCGCCTTGTATTGTGAGTAGCGACAACATTCTGCCACCTGCCCGAATAGGCAATACAACGGAGACTTTGCCGGAGTCACACAATCCAAACCATACAGTGAGGCTGCGCTAACATGTTCTGATTCCCTCTTACAACAGCCCTAGAAACTATTCTCGACTCGCAAGGTAGCGCTTCGTCTCTTCTATGACATTGTGTCCGACAAGCCACTGGACCACAGCCGGATGTGGAAACACTTGATTCTTATCTTCTTCCAGGACCGCCACCTCGAAGCCCTCTTGTAACTCCTTCTCTGCCATCGCCTTCTGCGCGCGCCAGATACGATCTCTGTCTTGTTGCTTTGGCCCATCAGGTAAGTTGAAAGTTGTGGCATTCTGACGCGAGATTTCCTGGATTCGTTCGGCTCGAGGCTTGCGCAAGTGCTGGTAGTCTTTGGTGGCTCTGGGAAGATCTGCTGCCTCTTTGCAAGTTGCCACGCAAAGACCAAGAACTTCGGCGTCCTCGAGCGATGCTACTGCTCCAGAGGCGGCGTGGGGCACCATGGCGTGGCAAGCATCTCCCACAAGAACAACACGTCCGTTTGGACTCGACCAGGAAGGTAATTGTGGGAGTTCCGCTAGAACCCATTTGGCGCAATTATCCACGGCATTCAGAATGGCGTGAACCGTGTCGTTGAAGTCTTGGAACACCTGCCGCATCTCCGAGACGTCACCTGGCTCATTGTACCGGCCCAGAGGAGCTTCCCCATCGTCTGGAACCGTCAGAACCAGGTTGTAAAACCTGCCATTGGCGAATGGGTACCCTATCAAATGCTTGAATTCACCAGCCCAAACCTGTAAACTGTCGTTCTCGAGAAGTGCAGCAGTCAGCGGATTCTTCAGCATTTTCTCACGGGGCACAATAGCGCGATAACAGTAGTGGTCCACTCGTCGGGGGACAATATCCTGCAGGCCAGGAATTGAGCGTCGAGTTCTTGAGTGTATTCCATCGGCCCCGATAATCAGATCGGCGTGTAGCGATCTCCCGTCCTCCAACGTTACCTTGACCTCTTCGACGTCGACAGCCGCGACTTTTTGCCCGAACTCGATCTTGACGCCTCTTTTTGTCACGGCATCCGCGAGGATTTTCTGGTAGTCGACTCGATGAACAAACCAGTGAGGAAATCCCCTCATCTGGACAGAGTAGCCCTTGATGTTGATGAAAGAGATGCCCAGGAGGTCGTTGTCTTCGTATCGTCTGATCTCCATCAAGTCCGGACGTACGGCAATTGCCTCGAATTGATCCCGCAGACCCCAGCCGCTGAGGATGCGAGTTGCAGCAGGAGAGCATTGGATACCAGCACCAGCTTCAGTCAGGATCGGACTGCTTTCCAGAATCAGAATTTCATGTTTTGTCTTCTGAGAAATGCTAAGCGCTGTGGCAAGGCCGCCGATTCCGGTGCCGATGATGATTATCTTGAATGTAGCCATTTTCCTCCAGGATTCATCTGAGATGCGGGATGTCGCTTGGGCGCTGCGGGGGTTCACGAATCCTGCTGCTGAAAGCGTTGGTCTCTGATATATTGGCAATTCAGACAAGTGTCACGTTCGAGGTGCTCATACGAGACAATAGGCCGGCGGTGATGCTTTGATATGGAGACAAAGGACGTCCCTACCTTGACATGGACAGATCCTAGGCACCTTGAACGACTCGTACTGTATCCGAGTGTGTAAATCCCCGCAACTCGCTCGCTTACAGCATGAGGGAATCCTGCTGTTGTTCCACTATGCCTAGGGTCACACCAACCGCGTCTTTCTTGGTAGATTTTCGCCAGGGAAGGGTGGTTGAGCAGGGTCTACCGAGTATTCGGTAGAGAGGACTCGTATAACCAAGGCCATCATGTCTGCGGTCAGGAAATGTGACAAGGCCTGGGCCGTCGTGGCTGTACGTTGGGTGCGCCATACTCGGTACAAACGAGGTATGGCATGTAGAGTCCAGCCACGCCAGCATTTGGTCGCGACTTGTGGCTGCTTGTACCTCGTAGAAGCAGGTCTGCCGAGTTTGGCACCGTCGCGCAAACTCCTGGATCTCATTCTGGGCAATCCTTGACACGGTAAATAACATGGTTTTGTAGTGATATTTGCTTCAGTTCATCATCAGGTTTTACTTTATGTTGTTTGATCCTGTCGGTTAGAGCCGCCTCATTCTGACCTCGCCCGATAATCATGGACCTGGAGCCAGAAACACCGGCCTCTGGGTCGCCCTTGTCAGATATTGACTCCGACGAATTTCATGAGGAGGTCAAATTTCGCCGCAGAACGCGTTCCCATTCACGGGACTCTACTATCTCTGCCTCGGACGATGAGACTGCATCGGCTATGAGTGCTACAGCAGCAGCCCTAGACATGCCTCCTGCCAAACGTCGAAAGACTGGTGCTTCGAGCTACGATCATGCCACACCTCAATCAGCTTCAACCATCATCCCTCCTCGCTCGCCAACAGGGTCAATATCAAGTGACTCGTCGGGCTCGGTGCCTACTTCGCCGTCGTTTGCCAATCTGGGCCCTACCCATCCTTTGTCGACCGCATATGCCGCAGCTCAAGCCAACCCTGACAATCCAGAATTGGCAGACTATGTCCAAGTAACAAAGTGTCTATGGGACGGTTGTACCGATCAAGAGCAAGGTAACATGGATAACCTGGTTGCTCACATTAACGATGTCCATATCGTACCGCGCCAGAAGAAGTACTACTGCGAGTGGGAGGGTTGTGCCCGCAAGGGCCAGCCGCACACGAGTGCTTACGCCTTGAAGGCTCATATGAGAAGCCACACCAAGGAGAAGCCATTCATGTGTGCTCTGCCTGAGTGCGACCGAAGTTTTACTAGATCTGATGCTCTGGCAAAGCATATGCGTACGGTACACGAGACCGAAGCCTTGCGCCCTAGCGATCCGGTGCCCAGGGGGCATACTGGCGGTATCTCGAATGGAGGGTCATCCGGTATACCAATAAAAAGGCTGAAGCTGACGATGGGGGGCAAAACGAATGGCGACAAAAAAGCTACTCTCGTCGGAGATTTGCCCTCTTTACCCACACGGTACACCGTCTCTATGATGGGCATCAATCTCGACGACGTTGCTATGGCGGACGATGATGGGTCAGAAGAGCTCATCGACGCAGTTGACGTGGACAGTGTTCCACTGGCTCTACCTCTTCCGTCAGACTACTATCCCACCGATATCTGGGATGATATGGACGAGTACGAGCGCAGTCTTCCTCCATCACAATGGTTCCGACTTTTGCGCCGACAAATACACTGGGCTGAACAAGAAGGCCGCGATCTACAGCAGGAACTGGAAGATTTACGAGCGACGACGGAAGATGCCAATGGTAACCCAGTTAGGAGGGGTACGGGAGACGAAAAGGGGGCAGATGAGAATAGGAGGTTGGAGTGGCAGCGGTCCGAGGAGCTCTTGGACGCAGTCTTGCGGGCTGAAGTCGGACAAGTTTTGACGATGCTCACAGATGAGAAGGTAGATGATGATCAGAATCCATGGGAAATGCTCAAAGGGCTAGAGGCACTTACAACCACCACGACCTCGGCAGCTTCGGTGGCATGAGTGATTTATCCAGGCGAGTTTTTGGACGCAACAGTACGAGCACCTACATACTTGTACATAAGAAGCAACATGGCACTAGCAGACCCTTGAGAGTTGGCAGAGATCTTGTGATCACGAATTGATATCGGACGGTGCGCTTAGTTAGACAAGGGCGATGATCGTTGCCGTGCGAGGTTCTTTCCACTGCTTGTATTTGTACTTTGTATTATTTCCACAGGTCCGAATACGTGAACTGCCAATACAGCATCAAGCCCTTGGGGATGCCACGGTTCCGAGACGGGTTATCTCAGGTTCAAATTCAAGGAGAAGAGCAGGTCTGTATCTCCGAGGACCGAGTGACAAATGCCCAGATTTTTGAGTTGTCCGGGTCATCTGGGGAAGGATCAGGGTCAGGGTCGAGAGGAGACACACACACACTGCCCTCGAGAGAGTACCTAGACAGACAGACAGACAGACCGACAGACCTTTAATGCACGGGTGACCGGTCCGCAAAAATACTAGGTAGGTATGCGTGGTAGGTATGTATGTCAGATCGTGTGCCACACAATCGTTCATGCTCAGGTTCCGGTTCAGGTTCAGATGCATTGTTCGCCACACATCATCATCATCATCATCATCATCATCGCCATCATTATCTGGATGCTACCCACCCTCCTGACATTTCTCTATTCTCTTTCTCGATTCGTGTTTGCCCTTGCACGCTCGTTCCTGTCTACCCGATGGGACGGGACTTGTACTCGTACCGGTAAAGTAGGGTAGGATGGGTCAGAACTCAAAAACACACGGTGACAAAGAAAACAAAAAAGTAAAAGGTCGGGAATTGTGGGTGCACATGCTCCGGCTCGTGGATCGTCGTGGTCAGTAGTGATAGGAGGGGATTAAAATGCTCGCGGGTTGTAATATGAGTAAGTTTAGATGAGTAGCAAGAGATGCGTGGATGGGCACCTGGTTGTGGGATGGAGCGGTTGAATAAGGTTTGGTGCGGAAAGGCTGAAGGACTACTCGGTACGTCACGTAGACCAGACCCCGACTCTACACACTGGAGAGCTTCACATCTTCACATCTTCACATCTACGATAGTACCAGTACCAGCACAGAAAAATCACATGTATATCAGTTTTCTCTCTCTAAATTCCACCACGCAAAGACCCCCTTATACACACAACAAGGGCGAAATTCACAAGACCAGATAGAAATACCGAGTTCGAATCCCGGATCCGGCATACAAAATCCAGGTCCTACCTCGATCCTACCGACGAGATAACGAGACGATCGACGACATCAACCACTGTAGTATAAATTCCGTAGTATAACCGGTCGGTCGGAGAAAAACCAACCCTGCAAACAGGGCGAGTTTTCCTTGTCACAGCCCAGTAGGTTGAGCTGCTCTGTGACAAGTTTTTTGCTGCTGGGGAACTGGGGACATTGAGGGATGGTATGGTGGATGATGATGGCATAGGCAAGTTAGGCAGGTAGTCGAAGGATGGGACTTTTGAGCTTTTGACAAATGCATGCACTGCACCTTTGCTGCAAGGTACGTATGGTCACTCGCTTTTGTCTCTTGTGAAGAAGGGTTCAATAGGTAGAGGATGCGAAGTTTGACTACACATCTATGCCAACTCAGCATCACCAGCGGTGATGAGCTCCCTCACTGCGAAGATATTATATTTGCGTCTGACGAAAAGATATACTATATACCCAGCCCGTGTTGGTGGCTGCCAGGGGGAAAGGCTATCTTTACAAGATATTGCCATGCATTCCAGCCTTGCTGGAATCAGCCTCGCTGGAATCAGCCTCGTTTGAAAAGCCCCTTTTTGCTCGTGGGTCTCTGATGCACCAGACAAAGATACTCGGCATGTCTCAGTAATCATCAGCTCTCATTGTCTGAGCCCACATATGAGCATGTACGAATAGGTGTACTTTTTTCCGCCAAGACGGAATCTGGTGTCCTGCCCCTCCAGAACAAGCCTGTGCAGCAATTTGATCGAGATGAAACAAGTCATTGAGAAACAAACGGCCACATCTCCACAATATGCATGATTGCGCAGAGCCTCAGTTCGTGTGAGTCACACATGCAGATTCACTGCAACCTAAGAAGCCGGCCGTTTCAAAGCAAGGCACGCAAGCGCCCCATGGAGAGACATTGGGGGTTATTATTTGGAGTTCCAATGCGCAACTGTTCAGATGACCAAGCCTCAATTATTGTTCTAGGGCACAAGTATAACGGTAGGAATTGGTGCGTGGGACACTCCGAACAGAGCAGTACTCCGTAATATCAAAGTCGCAATCTTGCGACAATTAATGCCAAAGGGCGCGTTCTCCATCCAGGGTGTGCCTAAGAGAAGGGAGACAAAGGATAGGCTAACGCGGAGCACTTTGGTTGGCATCCCAAAGGTCTTGAGTCGGTTGGAGGAACCACAAGTGGAAATCGCTGTAGGATCGCCGACCGGGAGCCGACTTGGGTGGCATTCAGTCCAATCAAGGCCGCCTTAGTGTCAGTCGCAAATGCACCGCACTTTTGTAAGTATGGCTGCAATTTAAAAAAAAAATTCATTGCATCCATTTATGCACCACGGATTCGTGTTTCACATTAGAAAACAGTCATTTGTGTTGTTGATAAATGTGTGCCTGGTTCGCCGGGACTTCCTCTGAAGTCCTGGGAGCGGTAGTTTGTACGGAGTAGCTCGTGGGGGGACAAATAATAGAGTTGCAACTAAAACAACCAGTTATCCTGGTTGTCTGCCTTGTGCCTAGCCAAAGTGAGCAATTCCGGGCGGTCCTGGTCAGCGACGGACCAGTTCCACAGGGCCAATTCTGTACCTGTGCTATCCGGAGGAAGATATTCCTTTCGCGCGCAGAGACAGCTGGTTAATTAATTATACCATATCCAATTTTTGGGATACGTCGGTCCTGAATTTTTGAGGCTGTGATGGAGTTAAGAAACTCGTATCTCGTTCCTGTCAATCATGTTTCCATGAGATGGTCAAACAGGGGGAAATGTGTCCTTGTCCATGGTCAATTTCTCAATCAAGACACCGTCCACATGGAAAGGCTCTTCAAATGAATTATGAGTCATTCGATAATGGGCCACAGATAGGCCGACAACAGTGGGGGACCGCTAAGGGGGGGCTGTCGAGGCCTCCTGTTGGCTGAGTTTCCCTCTAGCGTGGCCGACTTAGCCCGGGTTCGCATTTAGTGGCGTCAAGGCTGACCAAAGCCTCCACGGATTGGGCACCAGGCCATGCAGGCGAAGAACCACGCCCCCTCCAAGGCCCAAGGGGATGCCCAGGGCTCCCAGGGCAGCCCAGGCTGCACCTCCCGCTCCATCCACTCGCCCAACTCGTCCACCCACCGAAATTCTGAATTATAATCTTGCCTTGCCCCCCTGGTGGATGCCTAGAACTTCTTTCTCTTCTCTCTTCTCAACCCCTCCATCATTCACTTCTACAACGACATCACCGGTACCACTGCGCTTCACAAGAAATGGCGGCCTTCTGATCGTCTTCGGCTTCACCTCTTATCTCGCTCAGGCAAGATAGGACCAGTCACCATACCAGTCACTGCACCTATCCACTCTCGACTCACCTCTCCGTCACAGTCTCCTTCTGGAGTACCTGTGAACTACCGGCAGGACCTCGTCTTCGCTTCCAGCGTAACGACCTCTCTTCCTCCAACCGCAACCATTCCCGCGTTGGACTTCACATCCTTCACCACGGATCAACCGCAACAATGGCGTTCCCCAACCCCAAGTTCATCCACTGCATCGTCGCAGAACCATCAGCAGCACAACTTCAATCAGGACTTTCAGCTCTTCGCCGCTCCGGAGACCCCTCTCAGGATCTCTCCTCAAGCCTCGCGTGCGCAGGCGATATCGAGTACAGCCCCTAATAGCCAACGACTAGCCCAGACTCGGCATCTCTCCATCAACAGCAGAGTGTCTCCAGTTCAGTCTATCTCGTCTCCATCTCACGGGCATCTCTACTCGTCTCCAAATCACCGGTCTTTTCCCAGTCTAGCATTGCAAAACCAATCCACTCAAGAGAAATACCTGCGCCAGCTTGCTCATTTGCAACGTCTGCCGCCTGTCCCAGCCTTTGACACAACCTCTGCTCCCCGCAGAAACTACTCGGTCCCCAACATTCCACAAGGTACTTACAAGCTCTGCCCGATTTTTCGGGCAAGGTCACTAACTATACCCTCAGGCGATATGGCAACCGCCTTCGACTCGATGTATCTCCCGGGAGGCGACTTTAGCGCCTCCCACGATGACTTCTTGGACCTCGGGCCCAACTTCCAGTCCAACCACTTCACCACTGTTAACTCCGGGGTCAACGATGGCACAATTTCCCCTACTGACCTGTTCAAGGATGACGCCATGATCATGTCGGCTCCGCCATCCGCCGCTTTCCCTAACTTGAGCACTCCGGACTCGAGCTTCTTGGAATCTCCTGCTATGGCCAGCAGCGGTCTCAACACCTCCCCACTGGAAGATGGAGAACTTGATGCCACCTTGAACTTTTCCGAACTCGACGGCATGGTGCCACTCTTCCCTCAGAACGGCATGGATCAGTTCGCCTGCCCACCACTGGCGACTGAGGCTTTTATTAAGCCACCTTCGAGCGTTGTGAGCTCTCGACCAGTCTCCACTGTTCAAGAGACTGGGATGGTACGACAGAAGTCCTCACCAGGACGACCACCCTCTCAACCATACCATGTGCGCAAGCGCTCCGAGACTAACGGCGTCTCCAAGGCGTCCAAAGCCCGCAAGAGCTTGCCCGAAATCCACATCGAGAGCGATGATGACAAGGAAACGGCCAAGAGGAAGAAGAACACTGCAGCTGCTCGGAAGTCCCGTCAGCGAAAGCAGGAACACGCCGAGGCTGCTGAAGCGGAGATCCAACGTCTCAGGGCCATTATTTACCGCCTCGGCGCCGATCCTGACTCAGAGGACATGTGAATGGGTACCAGAGGAAGTGTATGATGGTTGGTAGTGGGTTGAAGACTCGCAGGTGGATCTGCGTGGCTTTCTCTTTGACACAGCATTGGTGTCTTGCAATTGCAATCGGATGACAATTGAAGCTGTGACTACCACTCTGTGGGTAGTTGCCGACACAGCAGCATGACGCTTGGGGTTGGGGTTTTATTAGGCTGAAGCCAGGAGGGCTGCCTCCCCAAACCGCCTCGTCACCTTTTCTTTTCCTTGTTTATGATATATCGGGGCCACAGCGATTATCGGGTTGACTGCTCTTCCCGACACGGCGGATGAGGTCTACCACCTTGTCTTTACCGACATCGCCACGATTTCTTATTACTGGCGGCGTTCGGACATATTTCGAAGAAGGCATAACAGCAAGCTTTGAGTGGTGTGTCCGGCTTGTCGTCCAGGTCTTCTGACTTTGTGTGCTGAGTTTTATTGGCGATAGCGACGAAACGGCTTTCTGACTGTCTCCATTTTCGATTCAGGTCTTGCAGAAGAAGAATTTTCTTTTACAGCAGGACTTTGCGGAAAGGATTGACTCGAGGCCTGTCTCTGCGTTTTTTGTTATTGTTTCTTTCCGACACATGAACCATCACGGAGGGAACCCGCGCTGAGCAGCGTGGGTTGAACGGGGATGTGTTCGTTCACTCTTTGATATAGTATGGTACAAATCTGCCGGAGCTTCCTTTTACAGGACCAAGGCGATGCCCTCCAACTCTGCTTTACAGGTGGAGGTATGAAAATGCAACTCAGTCACTTTTAAATGAAGTTTTTGTGATCTTTTTTCTACTGGCTCTCTGGCTCTTTGCCTTCCTAGGCTACGTACACACCCGCTCTCTGTAGTTCTGTACTGTACGTCTGTCTGAGCGAGCGAGACACGAAGTTGTTTGGTTGGTTGGCTGGACGTGCTGGACGTGTTTGGACGCAATCAGTAAGTAGTACCGTACCTCTCTTCTTCCCTCCCTCTCTCTCTCTCTCTCCCCCTTCCTCGTGGACTCGTAGTTGAACTGGAACGGTGCCACACAAGTTGTACTTGGTAGTTTCTTCGATCCCTTCGCTGCTGAGTAAATATCTGAACCTGAAATTCGAACCACTTTACCCAAGCCTAATTCTGTACGAGGTACTTCTTGTTGTCTACAAATGGCAAGTGACAATGTCCAACCAACACACTGCGCCAGTTCATTTGCAATTTCATGTATTAGCTATTACTATCCTAACGCTTGGTTCTGCTTTGCATGGTTCACTGGCTAGGTGTTCTGTTGTCTGTCTTGTTCCTGCTTTGCAATCATGATTCCTGTTCACTTGTCCGCCAGTTTCAATCCAATCTGTCGATTCCATTCAAAACTGTGAACATGAGACATGGCCACAAGATGTGCTCCGCAAGATTTCCCGCAGTGTCCGGCACCTCCCAAGAGCAGGTCGAACTAATAAGCCTCCCTTTTCTCTCGCGACGGTATGCCTGTCATCCCTTGCCTTCTTTTCCACCAACAACATTGTTTTCGGGGGTATCTCTTCTCGTAAGGACAAGACTTGCCTTAAGTGGGTATCTGTACTGAAAGCACGAAACCAAGAAAACAAAAATCCACAATAACTCAAAAAAAGACAAACAATTTCGATCTAGTAGTGCGTGGGGTATCCTGAAAGAGAGAAAATGCATAACAAAAGGAGTGATGTCCGAGTTTGTCGTCAATTGGCCAACATGGCCTGGGTATCTCAAAAGATCGATACTGGAAAACAGGACGGACTGATGGAGATCCAACCGTGTCACGCTACCTCGAAACCACGAGGCCAGAGAGGCGAGAAGGGCTGCGAGGAGGTACCGCCGGAGGAGTGCTGTAAGTCTTCTCGTCCCACCACTTCTCGAATTCAACTGGACTAGACGCTCGAGACAGTCGAGATGGATGTGATAGAGATGTGCGTGGAGTTTTGTCTCTGACCTCGTCGGACCTTCAAGCCGTTGCCTTGACCTCAGGGGCCGTCGTGACCACCGCTTCTGGCGTCGACTGGATGGGTTCTGGGACAGGTTCGACGGGCTTCGCTTCGGCAGCTTCAGGGGCAATGGCGGGGGTCTCAGAGGCGGGTGCTTCAGTGGTGCTCGCGGCCGCGGGTGCGGCAGGTTCAGCGGGAGTCTTTTCCTTGGGGCCCTCAGACTTGATCGCTTTACTAGCGCGACGGACGAGCTGGCCAATGAATTTACCACCAGGAAGAGGAGACTTCTCCCGCTTTGGCTCAGCGACGGTGTCTTCGCCTTCAGTGGCCTCATGCTGCTTCTTGTTGAAGAAAAGGGAGGTGCGACGTTTGTTGTCGCGAGCCGGACGCTCCTCTGTAGCAGGAGTAGCAGTCTCAGCTGCAGCCTCGGTGGAGGCGGCTGGTTCCGTTGGCTCGGTGCTGGCAGCAGCAACGGGGTCCTTCGCAATGGCTTCGGCGGCCTTTTCTTCTTTGGTTTCCTCCTTGGTCTCCTTCTTGCCTTCGAGCTTAGCTTCAGTCTTCTTGATGAAACTGATCAAGCCGCCCTTCTTCTCCGTCTTGGGGGCAGCAGAGGCCTCGCTGGCAGCTGCGGGTTCTTCAACTGGAGGAGTGGTTACAGTGTCGACTGGAGCAGTGACAGCTGCAGCGTCGATGGGCTTGTTCTCAATCGGCTCTTCAATCTTGGGAGCAGTCTCGGAGACTGGTGGGACATCACTGGTTGTCAAAGCATCCTTTTCCGATTTCTCGGTGGTAGGGCTGCCTACGCGGTTTCTGAAGAGGTTGCCAAAGACAGATCCACGCTTGCGGTTCTTCTCTGTTGGGCTGGCATCTTCCTTCTCCTCTTTCTTGTCAGAAGCGACGATTGGGGCTGGCACTGGGAATTGGTCAGAAATCATCGACTTGGTGAGTGAGAAGACTTACCGGCACTTGCCGTCGAGGCCTCAACCGGCACCTCGGGAGTTTCTTTGGCGTCGTCCTTTGCGGGAACTTCTGGTTTTTCCTCTTTCTTTTCAACATGTTCTTCTTTCTTGTTGAGAAGACCGCCGAAGATGCTACCACGCTTCCGCGACTGAGAACGTTCAGCGGCAGGTTTTGTAGTCTCCTCTGCGTCACCAGTGGTTGCATCAGCCGCGGCCGCGGCCGCAGCGGTCGAAGCATCAACCGACTTCTTGGGTTCTTTCGACTTGGAGCGGGAAGCCTTGACGGCAGCCGGAATGGGAGCAACTGCGGGTTTGGCTAGAGCCGCATTAGCTTAGGTTCGCGCGTGGGGACAACGGGGCTTCCCAAAAGAGATGTTTATCCACTTACAATATTCTTCGACGTTCTTCTTGTAGCTCTCACTTGCAGTGAGTTCTTCTTTCAGGCTCTTGGCCTCTGCTGTTGCCTTTTCCAGGGCAGCGATCCAGCTATCCCGTTCCTTTGCTGAGGACGCTTCAAAGCGATGAACATGAGCCCCCGCCTTGAAAGAGAATTGAAGCCCTTCCTTCGTGACATTCGAAGCATCAAACTACAAGGATTTGTCAATTGATGTTACCAAGCTTTAGGGGACTGACACTCACCAGGTTGATGATGCCAGCAGGGGTTGCCTTATCCTCGACCCGCTTGGAGTAGAAGAGCAATCCCTTTCCTGTCTCACGTGCCCATGCTGCATCAGAGTGCTTTGTGTCCACCTTCTCGGATCGCAGGAAGTTGGTCAAGGACTCAGCGGTGGATGGTTCTTCTTGGAACCAGAAGTAGTGCTTGCTGAAGATGAATTTTCTACACATCACCAGTCAGCCATGTTATCTGGAGTTGAATCTCTTGGTATAGACATACTTGAAGAAGGTAGGCTCCTTGTATCCTAGCACACCCTCCGAGGCAGGGACAATCTCAGCAGCGGGTTCATCCTTTTTGACCTCCTCCGTTGCAACAGCAGCGGGCTCTTCAGCGACTGCAGGTGTAGCCTCGGTGGTGTCGGCCGGGGTAGCAGCCGCCTCTGTAGGTTCGGCAGTGGTCTCTGGTTGTTCGGGTACAACCTTGGACGGCTCGACAACTGGTGTCTCCTCGACGGGTTTGGGAGCTTCGACAGACATGTTGCTGGTTTGGTAGAGGGAAGTGTGATGTCGAGTAGGTTGTTCAAGAAAGCAACAACTTGAATGAAGGAGAGAAGGTCAAGAAGAATACTTCAGAGCGAGAATTAGTTCCCTGAAGAATAAGTGGGTATTGAGAATCTGATCAAAGGAGAAATTGACAATGGCAATCCAGGACCACGAGACTTTGGGCCGGCAGTCACGTTTCAGGTAAGGGATTGAAGAAGAATTGGTGGGAGGAGATTTGAAGAGGATGGGTTTTGTATGAGAAGCAGGAAGGGATTGGTTTCCAGAAAAGATGAAGGGAGCGAGATTGACAACAGGCTGGCAAAAGGAGTGGTGTGAGATGGGATGCGTCTAGTTTTTGTCTCGTCTCTATCGCTCAAGTTCGATTTGTTTGGGGCTGGCAACGGGCTCTCTTGGGCGGCTCCAGTCACGAAGGCTGCGTAGGGCGCTTACCAGGCAAGGAGATTTGAAGGCGGCCCTAGGCAACGCGCTACCACTGCTGACTCCACCTGTGTTCGCCTTTAGCCAACACTAGCTGACCAGGCCCTGGTTGCTGTGAATAATTTGGTGGAGAAACCTGTAGCCTCCCCTAGTCCATCCCTAGCCACTCCCATGCTAGCTGCAGCACAGACTGACTACTGGTACTAACCTGCGGGTTGCCTCCGCCATTTCTGCTGCCGCCCACATGTCTCCCAGGAAACAAAATCACGTCCAACGTTGTGCGATCAATCGATTGACGACGGTTTTTCATTAGTTACCAGGCCTCGATGTGCGAGAATGCGCGGGGTCCCTCAACTACCAAAGCACGCAGTGTACCGATTGAGAAGAGTTTCACCACTGCCGTCAGCAATCGGCAGGACCATTGACCTGGCTTTTGCAAACCAAGTCCACGCCTTCTTTTCTGACGCCAAGGGGGCCTCCTGCAGCGACTTCAGGCTCTCAAACACCAAGTCACGCAGTCTTTTCCGAACTTTGTGTGTGTGAAGGGCGTTGCGAAGCCAATCAGGCGACAAGACACGCCTTGACAGATGCCATAATACTTTCCGCCACGGGGCGCACCCACCCTTGGATCAAATTCTCCCTTTCCACGAGAAGATCTACAAGTCCATGTACGAATACGCTCTCTATAGAACTAGGAAGAACTGGTCGAGTAACGAAACGACTTCTGAATTCCTCACCGCCTTGGATGCGCTCAACCCTCCCTCGATAGCATACTCAAGAGGAGCAAAGAGCATGGCACCTGTCTGTGTGACTCATATGAGGATCTCCGATGACCTTGGACTTTTGAGGACAAGACATGGTCATCTCACTGGTACAAAAAAAAATGGTTGTTGGTCATGCGACCATCAACCGGACACCTGCATAAATGACGTGCCTCGTGCATCCGTCACATGCTCTGGGCGAATCCTTGGATACCTGTCAACCTGTGCAGCTCGGTGGCCGATCCGATCACCTTGTTTTGATAATCGCAATGGGCACCTCTGTGAATGTAAGAACTGTTCCATGTTCTTCCATCAGCAGGAACCTGAAAACGAGGATTGGCCACGGCCAGCATTAGCCAAATGTGCCCATGCTCTGCCTCTGTCCCTTTCAGGAATCCGAGGCATATACTAGCGCAAAGGTTCTTCAGTTCGCCGCGCGCCGCAGAATCACGCAGTGCAGGCAAGACCTCGATCCCTTGACTTACCCTCTCTTATTCTGCGACCTTCTTGTTCCGTCGATCCGATTTCTTCGTACAATAGCATCGTCTCTCTTCTTGGAGCAGATGTCACGTCCACGTTATCATTTCCCGGCACTATTGCGAAAAGTGGTATTGCTCAATCATAGGCGGTCATGGCGTTGGTGTCGATCTCGATATCTTGGAGACTTTGAAAAAAGCTCTGATCCAGATCACCAATCAATCAATCTGGCGGGGCTCACCAGTCGAGCAGGTCTTGCAATTTCGAAACCCATCTCCACCAGCGAGAAGGAACGGCGCGACGTGATCTCCATGCAGTAGTCCAGCCCCATTACCCCTCAGGGGGCACCCAGGCCCAAACCTGAAACAAGCTGGATATACTCCCTTTAAGAGTGTCCCAGCACATGCATGGTTTGCAGCCTCGGTACCAACTTACTGAGTGTTTGTAGGGCCGGGTTCCTTTTCGGTAGGACGCTGTCTCAGTTCTCCTATCCTCTCAGTTCGGTTGAGTCGAGAAAAAAAAGTATGCATCTCTCCAGGGTTCACAATTACCGGACATTCGAATCGAGTAACCGAAAAGTGACCCCAACCCTTCTGTCTCACGAGGACCGAATACTCCTTTGGATCTCGCGAGATTCGAGACGCATCCGAGCTACCAACACAAGTATCGTTGAGAGAAGCTCCGCCCAATTACGCCTACCTACTCGGTACTCGTCTCTAGTGGACCCTACTCCGGAAAAGTACAAGGACGAGTACCCTACAGTTGGTCCAAGCTGAGACCCCAACGCGCGCTACCTGCGACCGTGGTGGACTCGGAGATATGTTGGTACTCGTTACTTGCTCCGAAAGGCTCTTTTTATCTATGGAGTATGGAACCCCTGATCTCCATCAGTTAAATAATGCGCGACGGAGTATCGCCTGCCTTGCCAGCCTGACACTGGCACCGTGATACGCCAGGGTTGGTTGGACGCGATGCGATGAAGGGGGACGTGCACCGTGGGTACATACAAGCTCCAAGCAGATACTCGGTTCGAAGGAATTAATATCAAACTGATCTTGTCTTGTAGGGTTAAAGTACCTACTCGGTTAAAGTACAAGGACAAATCTTTCCGAGGCGAGGACGGAAAGTTGTCTACTCCATACTACTCGTACCTCGTGCTCACGGGTAGATGCAAAGATAGATCCTGGGTACGAGGCATGTACCAATAATTACTCGTAGATACCAACCCCCTTAACAGTATCTTGAACAGTACCTCGTGTCTACTATTTGTATGTGTGAGGACTCCGTACTCCGTGCTCGATATTCGGATCAGGCTACGACATGGTTTCAAGCGCATCGAGCAACTAGTACTCATACTCATACTCAATACTCATACTCGATATCCCAACCACGCAGATATACTAGGCGTCCTCGAATGCCAAGCAATCGAACACTTCGATGAGACGATCCCAAATCCTTTGTTATTGTTGTTTTGACAATTCGCTCGAAACTTTTGACGGCCTGGACAGCCTGTACCTACCGACCTCGCTACCTATCCGTAAACTCCCCTACCCAAAATGACCAAGTATATACTGATTACAGATTTCTGTGCTCTGCCAAATTTCAACACTGTACTGTCGACCGATACAAAGGCACAGAAAATGACTGGCGTCTCGACGCTGGCCGAGTTTGTCTCGCTTCCCTCGATGCAAATCGACTTCTCCAATTTTGTGCTGTGAAGCCTTTGCAAACCAAACTACAATTCTCCCTTCAACCCGCTGTCGTCAAGACGTACGAAGTCACAGCATCCATCCTTTCCTTGGTCAATTTGAGACTGATAACGAGTAGTTCTTGGGCCACATCTGGATCCCGGGTCTGCATATCATGCCATCGGTTCGCATCAAGTTTCCATGTGACGCAGTCCTTCTCTGCGATCATCGTGGCAGTGCGTGATGTTTGCGAGAAAAACGGTAGCTCTCCACATGGCCGTCCAGACACAATCAGTTCCGAGTATCGACCCTGTGGCAAGTCGTAATCACAGCGCAGAATGCCTTCTTCGAGCAAGTAGAAGCCGTCTGGGAGATCTCCAACCTTGAATAACACCGAGCCTTTCGGGTAAACAACCCTTTCAAAGTATTTCATGGCGCGATACCAAAAATCCTCCGTCTTCTCAGAGAGGTCCGCGAAGATCTGTAGCATCAAAGGCAGAGGTTGCTTGAATGATTGCCACTTGGCCGAAGTTGACGTCTCCTCGTCCAGAGTACTCTGAGCAACTTGATGAAGATGATTGCGTCTCGGGGAGCTGCCCATGAATTCTGCCTTGTACGAGGACGAAAGCTCTTGAGGCCGGGTTCGAGGCATATCGAGGTGCCCTCCTATCCGCCTTGGGCGTCGCTGCTCTTGCTGACGATACAGGGCGGTCAATAGTTTGTTCTCGCAGTGCTCCAGTGCCACATTTAGATCTGGGAAGATCTGAACATGGGACTCTGCCGCAAACAGACCAACATTGCGGAGAGCTTGTCCAACCTCACCATCAACGTCGAGGCTGCTCACGATAAGCTCGACTCCGCGCTTTTGCAGAAGGCGATTGATTCTGGTGAACGCCTCTGCGGCAGAGAAATCAATGCCGTTGATATGAGCCATGTCCAAGATGAGGAACCTCAGAGGACGGTCTCTAAAGGCATTTTCCTCCAGAAGCGCTCGAATTTGGTTCTCGACACCGACAATCGTCCCAAAGAACAAATATCCTGCCAGTCTGAGTAGAAAGATCTGTTTGCCTGTCTCTCGCAAGAACTTGAGTTGAACTGGGGGTCGTCGGACGAGAGATCTGGCAACTTGTCCAGAGTATGTAGCTCTGATAGCTGTCCTTCGCGATGTCTGTACAACAAAACTCAATGCAGCAAGCAAGATGCCCACCAGGATCCCAACAACAAAGTCCCACACTCCCATCGTGACGACAATGATCAGGATCGTAGCATACTCAAGCTTATGGACTTTGCCCCATGTTCCGACCAGAGCTTCTTCCAGTAGCTCTATGCCTAGGAGGAAAATCAAAGCACCAACCACCATAATGGGAATGTATCCGATGATAACTGGGCCGGCCAAGAGAATACCGACAGTGCAGCCAGCCAGCATGAGCCCTGCGAGACGGTCATTGCCACCACTATCCATGAACAGCAGACTGTTGGTATATACAAGGTAGTTCTGCACACTTCCAAAGAGACCACTGAGGCAGTTGGACACACCATGTGCAACCAACTCCCGGTCGACGTTCAAATTATCCTCGCCGGTAGATATACCCAAAGCGGGTACGTTGATTGGTACATGCAAGACGCCGAA